ACAGCCACAGATGTCACAATCCCACTTTTTAAAGAGGTATCATCTTCCCATTCTTCAGATATACCCATTATATGGACACCTTTATCCACAGCACCTTGGCAGAGTCTGCATAAGCCTTTTTGTCTGAATCAGAACCATCCTGACCTACCACATCCTAGAGCGTGCAGAGGGGGTTGCTTGCAAATGAAATTAAGTTGAAAGATGCTTTTCAGCAGCACACCTGATGCACTGTGATCAGTACTGGGGAGTCAGGCAGTGGGACCAGAACAGTGGGTCCAAGGACTTGCTAAAGCTAGAGCATTTGGTGAGTAATCTGGTCTCACATCAGTGGTTAAGGCTACCAATCCTTCTCTTCTGGGCCATGCTTTGTGATGGCCTCAACCTCTGTTTCCATCTGTGCTGGAGCCACAGCAAGTCGAGGACCTAAGAGCTGAGCTTCTCTAAAAGGTTTTAAAGGGACATCTTTTTAGTTCATAAGGCTCTTAATCAGTGTTTCTCTCCTGCACTCCTGCAGGACAAAGAAAGACGCAAGGGCTGAATCTAAAGCTGGATTGGCAGCTGCAGCAAATCTTGGAGCTTGGAGCATACAGGCTGTTTCTTACCTTGTGAGAAAGGATAGACAGTTCAGTTGCAATTTAGAACAACTTTTAAGAGTTAGCCCATTTTACACATTCACCATTTAATATTAAAAATATAATAACAGCTCCTGCAGTAAGGCCAGTCACCCAGGAGTCCCTCTCTCATCGAGTACTCCCCTTGCTGGGATAGCCTGTACTTTCTCTATCCCAGTAAGTCTTATTCCAATTTTGAATATGCTCAGAAGAAACACTGGAAACTTCATAGTAATTAAAGTGATTATTAACAACCCTGAAATGCTCCTTTTGAAGCAACCTATAACTCTATTTACAAAAGTCGCATAAAAGAGCAGATGTTTTTACAGTACTTTTTTCTTCCTAAAAAGATACCTGACCTTCTTACAGCATTTCCTTATTCAATTGCTTTCCACTTAGCTGCATATAAACTTAGCCATTAATTCCACCATCATGTATCTGCGCTTCACCTTATAAAAATAAGTAATTCCAATGTGAAATCAATCCTTATCCAAGGCAGAGATCATAAACCACATCCTTAGCTGTGTATAGCATCACTGAAATCAATAAAGCCATCCCGAATTAAACTAGCAAATGGTCTTGTCCTACATATCTTTAATCTAGAGCATTCCCATCTATTGTGAAGTAAGACAGTGAACATCTCCTGTATTCTATACCCTGGTTTTTATCTAAGTAAACTCCTGCTTGCCCCAGTGACTCCTAATGCTTAATGAGTTTCTGGACATATCCTCACTGTCATGTCATTCAAAACAGTAGTTAAAAGAAAAGATGAATTTATCAAATACTGATCAGATCTAGCAAAAACCACAGGAAAAACAATTTGTATGTGTTTTATAAACCTGTCACTTAACAGTTTAATTTCCTTGTGACAAAACACTAAATATAAATACCGCATTAAAACTCTCAAGTTTGTTGCATTTGATGGAAACAACTCAGAGTTCATTCCTATAAGTAAATACTAATGAGATCCCTTTGGTATTACTACAATACAGTGGTTAATTAGAGAGTCTACATTTACTCATGGGATGTATCCTTTCTCACATGTGCAGAGATTGTTCCTTACTGTTTAACAAACTAGATACAAGCAAAATTTTAAATAAAGTTCACAAAATTTATCATTACAAATTGGGAAGTGTTTCCTGACTGGACAATTTTACATTTTACAGGTGAGAAAACCAAAGCCCAGTGGTATCACCAGGCCACCCAGCAGGACAGGGCTTATTGCCAAATACTGAACCAAGAGAAAATTGGAGCACTTAGGGCAGTTGTATAAAGTAAATATTTAATTTCAAGTCAAGCTAGTCTGAAATTACCTATTTCTCCATTTAAGATTTTTTTGAAAGAAATTGATGTGGGATTGTCAGCCCATTCTGAATTTCCCCAGTGAAAAAATGCTAGTGGGTATTTTGTACTCTGACAGCAAATGCACAAACAGAACTGCACTGAGCCCATCCTCTCTTCGGCTCTGATGCAGTTTGATCCACTGAACTGCCATCACCCCTTGTTTCAGAACAGGGAACTCCCTGGAAGATTTTCATTTTATGACTGACTTAATTTTCTGCCTGACTGTGGCATCTTCTGCTGAGTCTGAGGGAGCTGACACAATTAGTACAAAGTAGCATGTGGCACTGAGCCACAGAAAGCACAGCATTTCCGAACAATTACAGCCAATGCATTTTGTTGGTGCTGGGAGACACAAGGCTACAGTCCAAGTGCTTAGCCACTTGAGAAGTGCAATTATGTGCTGGAAATGCACTGCCTGGAACAGTCCCTCTTACGAAATGGAAATTACCAGCTCAAATTGGAAATTAGAAAAGGAAAGTTTCTTTCGGCCTCATGTAGTTTGTTGGAATCTCTGTTACAACCCCGCTGCTTTGTTTTTACCCAAAGCTTGTCAAAATCAAGGCAAAAAAAAATCACAATTCCTGTCCTTCCTTTTTCCATAGGATGTTTTAGACGTGGGAAAATATTATTATTTCCTTTATACCACACCACTGAGCAACACTTAGTCATGTCTGTGTGCCTCCCTGCAACTTTTCAGCAGCACCTTACCTCACATATTTTCCTCCCATTTGTAACAAAAGATTCTAGGAAGGTATTTCAGTCCTCAGTTCTGCACATTTTCTTGCTTGTGTCTCATTCCCAACCCCACAACTCAGTATATCCTGACTGCTTGTGTAGGCACCATTTGGCCAGCATGTTTCCATAAAGGATGCAGGGGGTGAGTGGTCTGGTGTACATAAATTACAACCATTGCCTAAAAGCAAATATTAGTGCAAATTCTCCTTTCCAAGGGCTGCATTACCAGAGCTCCATCCCAAATTTGGAAGCAAGTAAATGGCAAAGGATGTAGGTTATAGTGCAAATGCCAACCTTAGGACACTTTTATTTGTGTCTGTCTTTAAATAGAGTAAGCTGTTGAAAATCACACTTGTATGAGTAAACAATCCAAAAAATAGGGGAAAAACCCCATTTGTTTGACAACTACATCAATAATAGCTGGAGTAATAAGCAAGCACTCAGTTCCATTACTGGAAAGAGCAGTGTATCTACCCTCTATGCTGCCAATTTAGAGCTAATACAATTTCATTAATTTTTTCCATATATTAACTTGCAATTGAATATGTCAAACAAAATAAAATTGTTATTGTCAAAAACATATTCATGCTTCTGTATTTCAGTATTTCAGGACATAAAATCAATAAAAAAACAAGAATAAAAATATTTTTTAAATATATTTTTAAGACATAGAAAAATATAAAACGTTGGAGAATATGTAGAAAGCAATCTCAAAAGGAAACTTAAGAGTGCATCTGATACATTTCTATGCCTGAACATCTGTGCCACACACTGAAAGATTCTAGTTCCAGACACTTGAAATTTAGTCTCAGGTCTCTCTATTTTTTAAGGGGATATAAAAAATAAGTATTTGAAGGCAAGATGATGAAAGAAAAAAGGTTCAGAGACCTGTTAAGGTAAAAGTAGAGTTCACAAGACCAAGGCTTGACAAAAACCTGCAGAATGAAACAAGCAGAGTAACAATAGTTTCAAAAAAAACAGAAGACAGGAGAAATTAAAAAAAAACACAAAACAAAACAAAAAAACCAAACCAAAACAAAACAAAAAAACAAACCCCACCCCTCCATATACATGCATATAAGCAGACAAAAACATCTTTTCCTCTGTATCTCCTAATGACTCTCTCAGAGAAAAGGAACAAAGATGTATACAATAAAATGATAATGCTAAGACACCACCTGAGAAAACCTCTGGTAATGCAATTACCATCTCCATAGAATAAATATTCTTTTTAAAAAGTCAGTCCATGAGCATGTCTGCCCATGATTCTGCTTTTTTTGTTCAGTCTAGATAAATAAAAGCATGTGCAATAGCTCGTTCAGAGCTTTGCCTGTGCTGACCAGAATGCTGGAGCCTCCTCTTGCAGTGAAAACTTGCCTTCCCCTCCTTAGGACATTATCTTCCAGCTTCCTTATAACCCAGCTGGTGACTTCCAGTAAAACTTACAATTCAGTGGTTTTGTACATCCCATTCCACTGACACTCAGAGCTAATTGTTTAAACAGGTTCAACCAAGTATTGCTGTCGAGAGTAGGGACAGCAGGGTCACAGGAAAGAAAGGAAAAGGATAATGTCATTCCTTTACATGAGAAACCAGTGTTAAATACAACAACCTCACAGTAGAAAAATACACCTCTCTGTTCTTCAGTCAGTTCCATCAGGAAAGGCAATCTGGGACTGGAAAACATTTTTCTGAACTGAAGGAGAAAATCTTTATGTAGCTGTTTATTCCTGTTCACATCCCAGTAGGTGAAAAGCTGGCATCAATCTCAACCGGAGCAGCACCTCTAATTCCAAGAGGTCCAACCAGGAAAAAAATTAAAATGCATTTATTTAACCTTTAAGTTATTCTTTTGAAAACAGACTTCAGAAGTATTTCATATCTCAAACAACTCTGCCCTGTCCGTAGCTTTCATAAAAAAAAAATAAAGCTGAATGTTGTGATAACATTCATCTACAATGGGCATAAAGAAAACTGATTTAAATAGCAAATTTACATATGTGCTCACAAATGTTATTGTTGCAGTTCTCAGACTGAGACATTACATAATGGGAAAATGTGAATTCATTTATCCAATGAACACAGCACAGGCAAAACTGTCGTGTATTAGATCTGTAGGCCACATATGCAGTATATTAAATTCACTTAGTAGACAGATAATTATGTTTCCATGTAAAAGCCATTACAAATAATAAATAAATATATGTAAGACAAATAATGTGCCAGGATTATGCAGATAATTCATATTTAATTCAGTAGTTGCTTCACTGCTAACAAATAATGATGAACAGACCATTATAGGTTCTCCACCATGATGCATTTACTTTATTCAAATAATTTCCCACACATATACATGTCTGAACTTTTCAATTAATTTCAGCCTAAGGCACTCAAAGCAGGTAATGCATGTTACCAGGTAGACTTGAAAATAAATCTAGCTTATCTCATTTCCTTTCTCATTGCAGTCGTTATCCTGAGGAAGCATCAAAATGTCACTGTTGTAAGAGAAATTAGGTTAGTAGTTGCTCTCTCTTCATGTACCCTTCTCAGAGCAAGGGATAGGTTTGAAGGTCAGTTCAGTGTTCTCCATCAGTACAAAATCGTATCTGCACAGCTGCAACCTACAGAAGGAGAAAAAGAAAAAAAAATTGCACAACAGAAAAAGTTTACATTAACAGAAAAATATTCCCTTATTTGAATTATTAAACCTCCAGTATTCACCAGCTCTCAGAGATGGTACTCAGAGCAAGAAGTGTCTTCTTGTCTGAGTTTATACCCTATTTTATGCATCCCTAGAATAGTTTTGCCAGACTGAGAAAAACAACCGTACCTCAGCTGGATGGTGCAAAGTGGCAGGAGTAAGTGTATCACACTAGTCTTAAGTATGAATATGCAACATTTCCTCCATTACAGCTATTAATCTGAATTCAGAACTTCTCTTTAGCACCATGGCACAAAATCTGCACAATTCCTGTTAACACTGGGCCTGAATAATTTACTTTAAGTTCTCTAGGTAGGAAAGTGTTTCTGCTTTCGTTTCACAGAGGAAAGTAGAAAATTACAACATAGTATTTCTCTTTCCCTTGCAACGACATCATGTGTGAGAAAGTTTAATGCAAGAGAGTAGTTTGTCTTCTAAACACCTAGAAAACCCAAAAACTGCTATAATACTACACAAACACATAAAGAGGTCACAAAGGGAATCATGGATACACAAAATCTCACTTTTTTTGAGGTCGAAATAGATGCAACACCTTTTAGGGCAGAGGCAGGTCACAGTTCTGTTCTTCATGCACTACTATAGATGAATTGTGAGAGATGTTTTGAACCAGAAAGTGACTGCTATACCCTCTGATGGCATCTCTAAGGGCATACAAGCTATGATACATACCTATTTTATTTAAAATTATCTTCTCTGTTGCTCTGAACTCACAGATGTGGTTATACCACACAATACCCAGCCTCAGCCTGGGATGTAACATATAGTAAAATAGAATTTCATCCAATCTTTCATCAACAATTCGTTTTGATTTGAATTTAATGGTTTACTATTATATTATTTTTGTAGTATTATTTTTATCTAGCCACAGGGGACAAAATACCTAGACAAACCATAGTGATGAATTATAGAAATAAAAGCATATGGCTTCCAACATATTGTATCTCATTTGAAGTGCAATCCATCTCAGCTTGTGGTTATTGAGTACCAAGAATGCCTTACAGGAGAGCAGCCCTGAGCAAGGAGCAAAGTGCTAATAATGTTTTAGTTGGGTGAGGCTTTCATAATCCCTCACCCCACGTGGCTTCTCTGCTGTCTGCTAAAACACATGGGCATTCCACACTCTCTTGTAAAAAAGAGGTATTAATAAAGTCTTTCTTTATTATCACTGCTCTTGTTTTGGTTAAAAACCCAAAGGTGTCTGGGCTAAGCATCTTTGAGACATTCAGCTTCCCCATTAATTGAGTTTGAATTGACTGACAGGATCATGAGCTCTTTGGTACAGCTGGCATCTGGACATGCACAGGGTTAGCAAAGCTTTCCAGTTTCATGGGAGAGCAGAAATGATTTATCTCAGAATCCAGAAGAGTATGAAAATTATATGTATCTTTTAGCACTTCCAAATTCACACACCATCTGTGTGGATAGTGGATAGTCAGCCTAGCAGACAATTGTCAGTGACATTCCCCAAACTCCCAGTTTGCTATTAACCCAGATCTGGGGAGACAGAGAATCCTATTGTCTTTTATCCCTGCACCTGTTCCCTGGTTTTTACCTATGACTTTCTTTTGAATAATTTAAATATTTTCAATGTAATTTCGAGTTGATCATGCTGTATTCAAGTAATTGCTGTAATTACATGAAGCTAAGGTAAACACAGGTAATTATAATTACAAAGAGCAATTATGTAATTATGCCAACCAATAGCGTTGTAACATCTGCATTTAAATTGCCTTCACATTCTGATTCAATACACTATTTTTCATTACTATCTAAAAGTATCTAACATGCTGACACAACTGCAATCTGATGAGGCTCCATATGTAGAACTTCAGTGGATCCTATATTAAAGTGTATCAAGTGCATTTTACTTTTAAACTAACAAGAGTGAGACCAACAGGAATGAAAACTCAAACCCAATCAGGGCTGTTCACTGAAAACCTTTCTTATTTGCTAGATCATTATCTGAAGAAGTCCCAAATGCTGACAGCCTTACACGAAATATATCTTCTGATTTATCACCATTAGGCTGAGAAGTAAAATTGAAATGTGATTTAGAACTTGGACTATCTCTCATCACCAAATGCTTTTAAATAAAATCATGCCAGTTCACTGAGAGCTTTAGACTTATGACCTTCAACAAGTCAATAAAGTCAAGTATATGTACCTTCTGGAGTACTATTTTGATTAGTGAGTGTTTTGTTTCTTCCTAAGTCTCTCCCATCCACCTCCTTCCCTTTCTCCGTAAATACAAAATAGTAGATTAATATAACAAGGTTTCATAATTTTTACAAAGTATCCATACCCAATTCCTACTAGATTATTATGACACACCACATCAGAAAGACTTAAATATAATACCTCAATATATTCTCACTCATTACTTGCTTGATAAACGTTTTTAGGTTTTTATTTTAAATTCTTCCTTGAATCTTCCATTCATAAGAAACAAATTAACAACTCTCAAATAAAGTACTCTTGCTACTCATGGATATTTCTTACCTGTTCCATGTAATATGCTATTTTCACAAGATGCAAATATAAAATTTAATCGCTAGTGCTACTGTACAAGTGACTCTGGAGATTTAAAAAATGAACATATGGTAATACTGCTGAAGTTTTCTAAACCAGAAATAATAAAAGATCAAGTAAAAAAAGAATAATTTTAAGTGTAAGCAGATATAGACTGTGTTCTGGCCTCAGAAGGTCTTTACCTTCAGCAACAAGACCAAAAAACCTGTTCCAATCATGCAGTAACTGAAGGGTTCCATTTCGTACCTGAGTGTGAAAAGCTGTGTGCAGACACACGAGTAAAATCAGAAAAGTGCTTAATAGGATTTATCTTATGGGGAAGAAGTTGCCAATGCAGGTGTGAGTCAGGCTGGTCCTTGAGAGCACGCTGTGAGCAGAGAGCAGCAGCAGCACGCAGTGACAAGCAGCATGTGGGACATCTGCAAGTACAGGGGTGCTGTGCACTAAATGTTAATGTACAGAGCAGCTCTGCCACAGCACAAATCTGATCATCAGGAGGCTGAGAAGAACATTCATGCACTTAGGAATATGCAATTAGAAAACAATCAGTACAGGGAAATACACTTTACTGAGGATGTATCCCAAGCAGTTTGGTTGATACTCAACTTTAATACACAACAAACACTTACCTTTCTGGATTATTAAGAGATTTCAGGGTCATCTGGAGAATCCTAAGCTTGTGTTTTGGGCCTATTAAAGTCTTCGTAGAAAAGGTCAAGGAAATTTTTGATATTTTTTCAATGTCTTGGTAAAATCCAGTTAGTATTTTGACTCTCTTGTATTGCTGAAATGTTGAAGCTTCACTATAGAAAAATATTATTTCTAGTCAGGTTTTTGTTAGCTGAGTAATATTCATTGTTGCTAAGCATTATTATTGAGATCAGAAATCTTTCAAGATTTATCAGCTTTGAGCATTCAGAACAAGGACAGCTAGAGCTGGATTCAATCCAGTTCCATGCAAGGACCTGGGAAAGGACCATTTCGGTATTAGAAGCATTGCCTCTCACAATGAGCCATATCCAGGAAAAGGTGCCATGGACAGGTGTTAACAACCTCATGATACTTTTTCAACTGACAAGTTAACGAGTTAAAAGGTTTAGGAAACTCAGAAAATTAGTCCTATAAAGTGGAAAAAAGTTTTAAAGACAAAGCACAACATACCTATTCATCTCTGATTCTACTGTGTTTCCAGCATGGTCTGTTATTTTAACTTTAATGAAACCTCTCCTGTTGCTTTTATTCCAGGTAGTAATGTCCAGTAAGTAGTTGTACACTGCAAAAAGAAATAGAAAATCATGAAAGTCAAAGAATGACCTCAACAGGATACAGTTGTTATTATCACCCTGTTAAAAGTATTCACTGGATGATGCAAGGAATAGTGACTCTTTACTTTTAACCTACCAACTCAAAGGAGAATAAGAAAGCTATTGACAGAAATTATTTCTGTATAATTAGTGTATTGTTTCCTCCAGTTCTTGCATGGACAGGATGTGCATCAGAAAGCTATCACCAAAGTTACCATGAAGAGTTTGACCTACCTAAGGAAAAACTACAAAATCAAGCCCTAACTAGCACCTTCAGGTTTTGGCAAAGAGGGGATATTTTTTCTGCATTGGCAGAAGCTTTATGTATGAGCAAAGTGGGCAGTTACTTAGGTGAGCTGGTTAATCAGAAGGTAAAAGCTGAAAGCATTCCCATGCCTTGCTTGGCAGGACAGGTCCTCCAAACAGCCTTCCCTCAGAGAAGTCAACCTGCCAAAACCTCTGTGTGGATTCTAGGAAAAAGTCTAGGGAAGCCTGAGGAAGAGAAGAGCTTTCTTAAACTCCATCCCTAGATCCCCCTGCTCTGGAAGGACTACAGCCTCAGGAAAACAGGCTGGGTACATGGGCAGGAGCTGACCTGCTCCACTATGCCCTCAGAGACCTGTCCTGGCCTTCTGCCACACTTCTGTAAACATCAAAAATACTGTAACTGTGCTATGACTATCCAGAGGAAACACATCTTTACTGCTCCCACAGTACATACAATTATTTTTTTTTTGGCATGTTGCTTTTTAACATTCTCTCCTAAAAGACCAAGCCTCACATTGTATGAAAAGCTTGTCCTGCTCAGGCTTACTGTTGCTCTCCTTTTTAAGACCTCTTGTTTATTCTGTTTCCTCAGGTTACCAAATATCTAAGGTAATTTAATTAATCAATACTCTCTTTTTCAGACTGGTTTAGTAGAATAATTTTACTTCTTGACCTTGTATTTATGCTGTCATTACAATATTTCCCGTTCTGTTCCATGGGCATCCTCCTATGTCTGATAATATTTCTCCCCCTCTTTTCTGTCTTCTACCACCCCCATCCAGGAATATTTCTTATCCTTCAGCAATGTACTCTTTCTTTCCCCCACCAGGATTCTACCTGGTTATATTTCTAATGAATGCCCAAGTTTTAATATGTATAAGAGTGAAAGCAAAGCTGTATTTTTCTGTGGGTAGAATGAATCAGGAGTCAGACCTAGCAGCCTGTGCAGCCTTGAGAGCAAAGCCCAAGCAGACAGGAGCAAGGGAGAAGAGTAGTAGGAGGTTTGGGATGAGCTGAAAGACACACAGAATAGGAATTATTTTACATAAATTTTATGTAAAAAATGTATGTAAAATCCATCACATCTTCATTCACCTCTGCTCTCTCCTTTGGAAAAAACAGTGACATAAATAAGCATGAATAATACTGTGTGTCCCTCACAAAACTTGTCAAGATGATGGAAAAAGCTAGGGGAAAAACCTAATTTCACATGAGCTTCTTGTAAGCCTATCCCCATGCCCCAAATCAAAGAACCTTAAGCATAACCAATTAGAAGCGTGTGCTAACACTTGCTTATGGTGGTAAAGTCTTTTAATACAAACAGAAATTGGATGAGAATCTAAACTGGACCTCTACGCGGATAGGTAGATGTCTAAACTGTTGCAGCTAAAGCCCATGCCTGGAGAGTTCTTTCCCATAGAGTATAACCCTGAAGCCACCAGCTAAGTTTTCCCTCCACTGTTTTACTTCTGGGGAGCCATGGAATACCTTTAGTTGACTGTAGGGTGACCTCCTCTTTGTGTGGAACACAGAGGGGTCCCTTTTTTGACCCCCACCCAGGGCAGTCTCGCTTCCCATTTCTGCTCTCTGAAAATGGCAGCATTGATCTCACCTAAGCAGGTTCTCTCAGACCACCTTTTTCCCTGTCACTTGAGTCCCATTTTCTGCCTTTCTTCTTCCTCTTGGCAGTCCATCCCATTACTTTTAAAGTCACATTTCTCAGTTCATATAGGGCTACTTACTCTTCTGCCACAATCCTCCTTTCTCTTCTTCCTCCAGTCTATGAGATGCCCCTTAGCTAATGTTTTTTACACCATTTTACAAAGTGGTTAACTACTAACTTTCTACTTCTAACACACTTTCACTCCAGATCACCTAACAAACAACAGCCATAACTTTTTGTAAAGAGTTTTATATGTGTGTATTCAGTCACTCACTGCAGAATGGGTCTTGGTCCGAGGTATCAAAATAAGCTCTCGTTGGTGAATTTTTTGCCATTAACCATTTTTTCCATCTATCAACATGATAACCTGAAATCCAAAGTTTAAATATTTCATTTAGGAAAATCATGATACACTTATAATTGCAAAAAAAGAATCTAATACAAAGTGAAAAATTTGGCTTCAATTTTCTTATATATTCTCTGAGAAAGAAAATTGACTTGGAAAATACAGGAACCACTTGAGTATAACAGAATGTATTATGCAAGTATTTCATTCCTCTAATATATTAGTATCACTAAAATTGTCGTTTTATATCTATTTATTATAGAGTCCTTATTCTAAAAAATAATGCTTACAGAGCTAATAAAAACAAATCCAAAAAAAGTAGCCCACATATTTGCAGAGAACAGATACAGAACAGCTTTCCTTTATTTTCTCCCTACTATAAGGTCCTGTTATGGCTGGGTTTTATTATGAAATAGTATATAGATCCATTTATGTTTTTTCTTTGAACCTGATCTAACTAAGGTAGGGTGCACATCCTGGTGTAAGGATGTTAAAAAAAAAAGAAAAATTACAAACTGAAAGTTAGCTTCTAATTAAGTATCTTTGAAATTTCATTCTTAAGAAAACCCTGTCAACTAGAAAATGCTCACACTATTGTAGATCTTTTCAAACTATCCCCAGATCCTCTCTAAGAGCAATAAACCCCTCAAACAACTAAACCCCATTCCAAATCAGAACTTGATTCCAAAGAACCACAGGATCCCTAAGGTTGCTACAAACTTTATTATTCCTAAATAAAAGCCACAGGTACTCTAGGGGTCATAACACACTTTGGAAGCCTGAAATGATGAACTAAGTAGAAGCAGTCTCTCTGTAGAGAGGGTGAAAATCTGTGAACCCACTTCAGTCTGGAAAGCATAATGATCAAAGATTAGGAACATTCAGCACCTGTGCCTAACAGAGATAACTATAAAGTAGACAAAGCCATGAACTTTAAACTACTTTAACTGTTGGCAGCTCTGGATGTGATCAGGCTCTACATGATCCTACAGATCACTGGAATAGCCCCAGGAAGAGTGGGTCTAGATTTCCTAAAAAATCTCATCCAGCCCAGAGCAAATATTGTAACACTTACCCAGTACTGGACAGGACATCGGCTGGAAAGCATCACAATCAACACATTTTCCTCTCTTATAATCCAAGTAAGACTCACAAGGATATGTTATTATGTCACACTTTCTTTTCAAAGATGATAAGAAGAGGAAAACAGCTCTTTGATGGTCACACTTAAAAAACTGAATTCCTTCAGGAAAGAAAAAAAATTAATATGTAATCATTTTTATTAATGAAGAAAAAGCGTTATAAAAGTAGAATCATAGAATGGTTTGTGTTGCAAGGGCCTTTAAAAATCATCTCATTCCAACCTCCCTGCCTTGGGCAGAGACACCTTCCACTAGGCTGTGTTGCTCCAAACCTCATCCAACCTGGCCTTGGACACATCCAGGGATGGGACATCCACAACTTCGCTGGCCAACCTGTACCAGTGCCTCATCACCCTCACAGTGAAGAGTTTCTTCCTAATATCTAATCTAAACCTTTCCCCTTTTCAGTTTGAAAGCCCCTTTTACCCACACCAGTGCAGCTTGCAAGAGCTGCTGGAACCTGGCCAGTTCCTGGAAGGTCTCTTAGCTGTTATTTGGGTTTCTCTGACTCCAGGAATCCCCTGCTCAGCCTGACTGGTTCTCAGCCCACCCAGAATTTACTGTAGCTACCACTGCTGTTGCCACTCACCTCTCCTACTCAAGTAATCCCATTTCCCTGAGTCATTCTTAGTTAGCCATGCTTTTACTCCCTGGTTAGTTGAACACCAAGTGTAAAGAGGGGATGCACACACAAGAAGAAGAAACTGGAAACTATTTTGAATATTATAGACACTGATAAAAGTCTACAGGGTTTTATTTGTAAGAAATAGTCTGCTAAATCCTATCAAACTTACAGAGTTTTTTGTTAAAAAGCATGAGTCTGAGTTACAGTTTGCCTTGTATTCAGTGCAGACAGCTTTGGCACAAAAATTACCGTGAGGAACTCTTCAGGGATTCTTCTCCCTAGTTGTCTGGGGTAATAAATTCCTTTCTCTCCTAACAAAACAAACTATGAGAATTATACAGATGAAGATGATGCTGAGTCTTAAGGGATTCTCCCATGCACGCAGACACACAAGGGGAAGCCCTGTGCCTTTGCAGCTGCTCTAATTGGTAGCAGCACTGTGTGGCTTAGTTATCAGAATCATATACAGAAACAGACATATCCAAAAAGAGTAAACAAAAACAATGGGCAGCAACCTTGCCTAAGATTTATACAAGTTGAACTGAGTAACATTCTGCATCAAAAGGTCTTTTCTTAAAACACTTCCCATCCTAGAGCCTAAAGGACCTGTCCAAAGCCTAGGTCATCACTGCTGACCAGGAGGAACCTAAGACAGAGTGAAGACTTGCAAACCTTGCCTTCCATGTCATATGCAAGTGATCCAGTCCAAACTTGGTCACAAACATGTTTCCCCATGCCTAGCCTATATAAAACCACAGAAATGTAATGATCACTACATGCAGAGTGTGTATATAATATAATAACATAATTCCACCATACCCACATTAATGATATGGTGGAATATGTATGCCTATAGGAAGATTCATATTAAAAAAAAAAAAAGAGTAAAGTGTTTTTGTTATTTCTCATTTGCTGAGTTGGGATGAAAAGAAAGATTGCAATGGTCTCAGCTCCTTTATTTCCCAATATGTGCAGTGTACATTCAATTCAATTTAACCTTTTTTTGATTTGATCTCAAGGGCTTTTCATTAATTAAATACATTTTTATTTACCACTGAAAACTGTGTTTGGACAACCAGGCTGATCTGTTCCTCCATTCGGATAGAAGTCAATGGTTCCTAAAGGTTTCTTGAAACCTAGTGCTAGAGTAAAAACATCATGAATCAAAAAACCATAAGCAGAATTACAAAGTCAATTAATTGTCATTACATTTACTACAAAGTAACATGGAAGCCTTAAAGAAAATTTTTGTGATTACACCATTCTTTATTTCTGTAAATCAAAGGCATATTATGAGTTAAAATCCAAAGGTTTTTTCTTTTTAAGAAAAATTATGCATAAGTAAAAATGCTATACACAAATGTATACAAATTTGTGTAAGATTCCTACTGTCACAACAGGGAAAGAACAGAAGCAGCTGTAGCAGAAACATTATTTACACAAAGAAATGTATGAAATTCATGTTCTCTCCAGCAACCAAAATCCTTTCACAATGCAATTTTCATTAGAGTAAGATTTTTCATTTTTTGCACGTTGGATTCTGAAGTACTCTAATACAAGCAGTATATCAAAGTAGAAAAATCTCTATCTGTCCTATAAAAGTAAGCAAGATTCCATAAGTATATATAATATTTAATTCAATCTAACCTACCTTCATTTTTACCATACATTTATCCTTATTTACAAAATCAGAACATTGCAAAAAATGGTATTTTACAGCTTCACATATAAATTTGTATAGTAAAATGCTTAATTTTTAATATTATTAAAGAAACTGATATGAAGCTAGTAATAATGTGACAAGTGTGGTAGATTTGAACGGTTTACTTATGGTTTTGAGGAAAAAATTAAACCAGATTAAAGCATGGATAAAGCAGATTTTACAATGTTCTTCATTTTAACCCTACAGTAACATGATTTAGGATTTTAAGCAGTGGCTCTGCAGTGTACTAACATGGCACAGCTGAGACTGGCTGTCTCAGAAGTGATTAATTCAGTGATAATCACGTGCTTACAGCCTCTGTGTTCACACACATTAGAACAGCAAAAGAATATGAACGGTGACACAAAATACACTTCTGCAGCACTTTTTGGGTGTTACTGAAATATCTTATCCCTTCTCTTTTGCTTTCCTGCCTTTCCTCAAGCTGAAAAAGGAAAGTTAGGGTTGTGTCATTACCATCAGTATCTGAATGAATTACATCAACAAACTGTGCATCAGAACGATCCAGTCTCCCATCTGGTGGCTCGTGCGTGAATGAAGGGCCCGCTGGATCAAGACCTAAATGAAAACAACACTAACATTGTAAATCTTGGCCTCTGTTCCTCTACAGATATATAAAATACTAACATTTGAGCACTATTCATCAATGACTTCATTTTCCTGGCATAAAAATGAAAATAAAACCCAGCACAGTTCTTCTCTTCAACTCACTAAGCAAAGCAAAGGTTCCTGTGGCAAGACTGATCAGCCCATGTCTGTTAATTTCTCTCTCTTCCTCATTAGCTGTGCTCATCTCCCATTTATCCAGATTAACATAAACCAACAGCATGAGGATTCAAATCAGGACAATTAATTTTGTCCTTTTCCCCAGAAAATACCATACCTATTAGGCACTTCATAACAATGAAATGCACAATATAACTGCTCTCACTGCCAGAACGCAACTATTCAGAAACTCAGGTAGCACAGCATTTCACTTAAGTGGCATTTAGATGCAGCACTCAATTTTCATTTGAGAGACTAGAGGTAAACAGGTTGGAAAATTTAATCTGTAATTTATGTCCTGAAGGCAGACTTTCACAATTTCCTGAACTTCTGCCAGGGATATGTTTCTCCTCGTGTATGTTATTAAATAGTCAGTTCTAATTTGTCAGTATTTCAGTGCTAGCATCCATGTGATTTGCAGCTATGGCAACATAAGGTACAATAGAATATGTGTATTGGGATTAAAAAAACTTACCTGTAATTCTTCCAAGTTTGCCATTATACCTCTGGCCAACAAAACCAGCTACATGAGCCCCAAGACTAACTCCAATCATATACACAGAGTCAAGAGAAGCTCCATGCTCCTATCATGGGAAAAAAAACACCAAAGCCACAACCATACACAGAGTTAACTGAACAGAAATCAGTAGACTGATTTAGTTTTCATTTTTTGTCACTACTCTCAGTTATATTTCTAACTTTCTAACTGTAAAAACAAATGGAAATTACAAAGTTCTTTTCAGTATGCAATTCTGTATTAGTTATAAGTGTAGTAATTGTGAAATTCTTTAACTAGTAAAATGTAAAAAGGAAGCTTGAGTCACATTTCTCCTGAAATGTCACACAAGTTAGAAGGGGAGCAGGGGAGGAAGAGGAAGACGTTTATCAGATTTAAGAAAGATGAACCAAAACTGTGAATTAGGAAAAAAAAAAATCTTCCCCTACTGTATCCTTCCAATAAAATAAATTACAAGCATAGTACCATTAACTAATACTTATGCCACACAACTGATGAATGATGGTGCCAAACACACAACTGCAGGGAAGCCTTAAAATGTCTGTTCTACAAACCAGGCAGTATTAAAACAAAACAAAACAAAACAAAACAAACAACAACAACAACAAAAAGTATTGAATTCTGAAACAATATCATTGTACCTGTTGGAATCCCTGTAAAATGATGGGATGACACACAGCATCTGGCATATTAATATGCCAGAAAATTAAGAAAGGCCTCCCAACAGCTTGTAAGTGTGAAAGTCATGACGACTTGCACATGGTGTTATTGTTCTACCAGGCAAATCTATAACCAGCAAATAACCTAACATCTGCATCATGAAGTTTGCAAAATACACCTTTATAGCTAACTCTGGATTGGATACTGTTCTTACAGTCCTTTTTTTTTTTTTTAAATTCCATATCAGTAAATTTACTGGCATAATTACAAATTGTTATCTCTCTATCTAGTCCCAGAGGACAGATTCTGGTAGGCTTTCTCTTCTTTCACCTCAGCCTTTCTCAAAATGTTTGGGTTTTTGCTCAAATTCCACATGAATCTTTTCTTACAGCACAGAAATGAAAATTTCTGATAATGGCTGAGAAAAGAAGTGGTGAGAATGGAAGAAAGCACATGATAAACAGCACAAACAAGATGATAATGTTTTGTTCATTTGATCAAGCAAAAAGTCAAAAGCCCAGTTAAGACCACTGGCATCAACTATTGCTTCAGCAACTTCCTCTAGAGTCAAGAAGTTTATATAATTTTGGAATTAATATTTCTACCTCTGTTACTGTTTTCATTTTCATTTAAATGAAATTTAATTATATTAGATTAATAGTAACAAGACTAGTGCAATGCCTTTGTAAAATTTGAATGCTGCATATTATTTGAATATCTCTCCCTTTACCTCCCCACTGGTGCATTCATTTTCTCTAGAAGACCTAAAACTTCCAACTGGCTAAAGAAATTAGATACACTCTCAGACACATTTCAGTGAAATGGAAATAAGAACTCTGGTGAAGTTAGAGATATGCAGTAATAACAGCATGTAAATTCAGTAAAAACTTCTATAAAGAAATACCATTTGATACTGCTTACTGGACTTCTTTTTAGACATATTTTAAATATCCGTTCCCACTTAAACTAGTCTCTTGAAACTTCTTCAGAACAGACACAACACTCTGCCTTACCAGCATCTGATCAATATAGTTCTTCAGTATTTCTGCAACTTTTCTGCAGTTTTCAACAGCAGCCATGTAATTCACAGTTGTAGCACCACGATTCCAGTCAACTATAATGAGATTAATATCCTCTGAAGACAGTAAAAGATCCCTCATGTCACCCAGCCATGCTGGAGGAGACCCCGTTGGTCTGAAGCCATGAATAACGAAGACAATTCTCTTGGCTGTATTGAAGTACTCAGATGAGGTAAGATTGTGCTCAATGAGTCTCTCAGAACAATTTGGATTTTCCTTGGTGTATAGGAGTAGCTGCACTCGGAGTTCTGTTCCAGACAAAGCATTGCCTATATTAAGATCTGTAAATTCAGGACATTTTTGCTCCTCATCTGAAAAAGATGAAAATGTTATTGTCATTTGATGAGTCAGAAGAGTTGAAATACCATCTCCTCACTTTTCATATTTTGTAAGATGAAAGTGAAGAACTTCCATTTTCTTCACTCCAGAGCTTTGGAATGAGGTGACAAAAAGTGCACTGGACAACAAGTAGCCACAGTTTAACTACTGACTCTGCAGATACCACTATGCTCCTCTCAACCCTTCAAATACAGAATTATTCTAATTATTCAGAACAATATATTTTCTCCATATAGATAAAAATTAGTCGTAAGTGTTGACAAGATCATTTACTTCACCATCAAATTTAGGTTCTCAGAATTTTTTCACCACTGGGGTGTTGTATAAACAGGAAGACTGGTGTGGTTATTTCTTCCTCTTTGAGCCATAGTGGCAGAGCTGCCAATCCTTAAACCTTAATTTTTTGACCTATCAATAAGAAACAGCTGCCTGACAACATGGGGATGAACCAGAGCCCTTTCCTAGTTTTGGATTGCTATAAGAGCACCATTACCAAGAAACAAGAAAGGAAGAAACAAAGGATTCTGTTCTGAGTTTGAAAAAACAAGACTCTAATGTCCATGTACATAATGGCACAAGCCAAACTGCAGTATTGGGCATTTCTGTCTGTACTCAGATAGTTGGGGTGTACAAGGTTAAACTGTAGATCAGTCAACAAGCAGGTGAAGATTTTCAAGAAAGTCTAAAAAGACTTAATTTCCCCCCTGTCTGGTGGTCAACAACAAAAGTTAACCCCTTTAGAAGTACCCTTTGACTGCTGAGGTCACATTGTGTGGATAAATCAACTTCAGGTCTTGGCACAACACCGACTCCTGTCACAGTTCTTCTCTAAGGCTTCTTCATCTTCACTATGGTGTTACCTGGCTTTTGGCCAAAGAAATTTAGGCCAATCTCTTGACTTCCAGTGGGCTACGTTACTTTACACAAAGCTTTTGTCTGTCCAATTCTTGATGTCACCTTTCTCAATTCCTCTGTCATTAAAATGCTCCTAAAACAAGTCAACTTCTTAAAAGCAAAAGTCAGAAGAGAAATATTACCTACTCAGTTCCTTAAAAAATAATTTAAAAAGTAACCTGAATTTCTCAGAATTTTTGAGTCACAAGTTCTAGCTCTTCTCCTTTTCCCAGCTCTTCTCCTTTTCCCAGCAAACACATAGCAGGCAGAACCAAATCCACCACATCTCAGAAGGACAGTGAGCCTGCACCAGCCTATAAAGCTCTGAAGGGCAAGTGCAGGTGGCTTACAAGGTATCTGAAAAATGTGTTCAGTACTATAGTTCAGATCTAAGCAAAGCTAAACGATGTGAATTATGGCGCTGGGAGTGCAGTAAAGACACTAAAGACACTAATACACTGATTTAGGGAACTAGACCAATCACCTCAAATGCCATACCATGTATCTACAATGACTAGAATGATCATCTCTGGACTAGACATCACAAAAAATAATGGATATATGCAAGCCAGACCAGGCCTGAAGTTTTAAAGAGTGTTAAAAATAGCCTCAAACTGCCTGCCTCAAATCAACCAAACAACAGTTTCATGCCTATCGTCACCTTATGACAATAAGTGCAATGATCAGGTGTGAGAAAAGGTGCAATTACTTACATTTCAAAATAAATATCACTGTTCTCCTCATTTAGACACTGAGAAATTTAAGTAACTTTTACTGAAATTACTGGACAGGTTATTAAGTAACTAATGAGACATGAAGGCAATTAATTTCATTGCCTGAACTTATCCAAACGATGTTCTGAAACTGAGAGCTGTTCAGCTGCAGTGGCCTTGAACTGAATGAAAACGATAATCAAGAACCTGGTAAAATGTCATACATGTGACATGATATGAGATGTTACCATAATGTGTCACATTTGATCTCTAGTTTTCATATAGTTATATATGATGGTAAAACTGAAATATAAATTCTATTACCTTAATGTCATCTAGAAAGCTAAAATTAAAACCAATCACTTAATTACAGTTTTGCTACTTGGATTCAAAGTATTATTAAAACTCTTTCAATTTTGCCTAGTGTTGTCCTTAAAAAGATGTTTAATCACTGATCCTTATAATTTACCCCTTTGTATCTAACATATAAAAGATTAATGCTAAAATATTGCTCTATCTCCATTTAAATATCTTGATTTTTTTTAATCACTTGATTGGTAGAAATAAAAATTACTTCTTCTAAAGCCAGTGAAATGACAGTGAGATAAACTAGACAGAGTCTGGTCCAGAGGAGTGAGAAATCTATCACAAGGAAATTATTTGAACTGACAAAACTTATTTACTAGCTTTCAGAAGTCACAGGGAAGCAATTTATTTACTTATGGTGGAGAAATGACAGAAATTATTTGAAAAGTAAACAGAAAAAAAAGAAAATATAGTATCTTTACTGTGGAATTACATAAGTACTAGATTTATATATTTCGTACTTTGAATTGTTTAGTGGGGAGTCACTGAGGAAGGTTTTTCAAATTCTTATATCTGACTGAATGCTGGAAGGAATAGCCAGGTGCCCTTTGAGAGTACTGGAGTACTCACAGTATTTGTATTTGTACAATCAGAACATCCACGCAGGCACTGGGCTGTGACACATGCAGTTTAAGTTAATAGATAATTTTAATATTCCTGCTTAGGCTTGTAAGCAATTTAAGTATCTTCTGTGGTTGAAAAGGGGAAAATCTTAAGTCTTTTATGTAACTAAATTTTGCTATTTAAAAGCATAACACATAACTCAAAAACCTTTCCACCTGTCAAACCAACAACAAACAATTAACTCATATTAGTATATTAAGACTGTTTCACAATTATGTCTGCTTTGTACAAAGTGCACATACCTGGCTGTGCCTGGGCAAAGTCCAGCCAGAGATAAAGTATCAGGCTTTGGCGTTGTTCTATTTACTTTAAAATGAAAACCTATGTCTCAGTTCCAAAGTGATTGAAATTTCTTTACAAATCATCTGCTCCATTAGGCATAATTCAAAAGGTTTAATCTTAATCTTTTGGCCAATTTGAATCAAGGAAGTTTCGGGTTTTTTAATGTTTGATTGAAGCCAAGATTGCAAATAAGCTAATGGTTCTTACCTGATTTCACCCAATATATCAGAGAGATGAAGAAACACAGTTTCAGCATGTGGAAATGGAGAAAAGCAGTATGGAATATCCACAGACAAGTGACAAATTGAGTGTTTCCTTACGCTGGATTTCTAACACAACTGCATGACACTAACGAAGTGAAGAAAGTAAAGCTGTTGTCAAGCTTCTGCAATTCATGACTCCTCCTATTGAATGACTTCAGTAGGTAGGGTGGTTTCCTTAAGGGTTGTGACTGATTTTTAATCTGTTTCCCTCTCTGGCTATCAGCAGATTTTACATGTAAGCAATCAATGTTTATATATTACTGACAACTCCTACGTGCATGGAATTTTGGAAACGGAGTAACCAGTGGTGCATCACATTAGACACCCACTGTGTCTCTTTTTTTAAGTGTGTCACTGAACTTAAGTGTGACACTGAGATGGGCAAAAGGAACTTAGAATAAAAAGTCATACTGGTGACAGAAACATTTTTTCATGAGAACTTGAAAATAATTCTGGTAACTGTATCTCCATGGATTATTTTTGCACAAAATTATCTTCTGAGATTTTTCCACAGATTCATTCTCTAATCTGACTTCAGAGAAAGTCTGTCAAAGCAGACAAATCTCACGCAGACATTGATTTGCTGTGTGTTTTGGCTGTCATTTAACTTCAATCCCTCTGTATCCCAGCTACAAAACAAATGAAGAAATATTTATTTTTCTGAAGCTCATTTATTTACAAATCAATTCCCTGGGTAAATACAAGGGGTCAGACTGCAGGTTTTTGAAGTTTGTGGTGAGGCAAAGAGGCAGATGAACCCTGCATTATTTATGTACAAAGTTTTTTGCCTGTATCTGGCCCCAATTATTTTCAGTGCAGGAGAAAGAAAAACATACCACAACCATTCAAATATGGGTGCTTCGAAACATATAGTCTAGATCCACTTCTTCTTTTCCTTTTTTTCTTTTTTTTTTTTTTCCTTCCACAACAGTTAAGGGTGTGGGTGTGCATATGTGTTTCGTTACTTAATTTTGAGTGATCTGTCTCTCCAGCTGGCTTTATGAATCTGAGCAGTTCAGCAGAGCTGTGCTGCACACGCCTCTGCATTGCATAGCCTTTATGGGGTCTCTTCAAGAGATTTCCTGCTTTGAATGCAGCCACAAGGAGAAAAAGATGCAGTATATCTGCTGGTATGAAAATCTACTCAGCTCAACAAGTGATATCTTATTGCTGTTTTGTTTTAATTTCTCAAATACGTCACTTTATTTGGAGTAAAGTTCACTATGGCAGGTCCTGTAATTCATTTGTATTTCCTCTTGGTCTCAAATCTTTGGCACTTTGCCAAACTATTACCATAAAACCACAGCCCTACTGACACTATGTATTGCTTAGAATAAGTAATGGTGCAAAGTCACTCTGGCTCTTTCCCTTCCCCACGTTTTAAATACAGATTATTTTTACAACAAAAATTTAGTGTGCCCAAGCAGCCACCAGTCAGGCAGCCTCAGGATGCACTCTGTATACAGTACACATTCATAAACCATTTAAAGCATGGAGAGATCACCACCACTAAAACCCAGCTGGTAACAGCCCCAGTAAAGCATCCACTGTGCTTATCCAAGACCCAATCACCTAGTCTTAGAAGAAAATCTAAACATACATGCCTTAGATGTACCTAATGCCACTAGTTGTGCATAAACTGCTGAAACTCGTTCCTTTACACAGAAATGGGGAAAAGAAAGGAAATTTTAAGTTACCTCTTGAACTGAAAAGTGAAATAAGCCCAGCTCACAGCTACATATAATAGAGTGCCACCCATGTTGATATAACTCCCTCAAGAAACTCTTTCAAAGCCCTCTGAAATCAGTGTCAGGATAGGACTCCATTACCAAATCAACACCCAGAAAGTTTAGTGGTATTAGTCAGGATACTGAACTGTGGTGAACTGTTGTATGACCAGGGAACTTTGCTCACCCACGGTGGCACTTGTGCCACAGAGAAACTCATAAATCTCCACTTATAAATCTCACTGCAGTTTCTACTGACACCCCACTGTCAGGTAGATCCTTCACGGTGACTCTGAGTTTCAGGTACACTCTCACAGACAGATGCAACACTCTCAAAGCTCAGCCATTCCCCATCCTGCTTTGCTGTGTTGTTGCTATGCCCACTGCTTTTCTCACAAGTATACGCTCCTTCTCACACTGAAGCTCAGAGTTATCTGCTGCCAAAAATGCCTTATTTTGCAAACAGGTGGAGGATGCTGGCACTGCCTTTTGAGGGCTTTTACTGTCCCCACAGTGCTCAGGACCACCAGAGCAGCAACTCCTGAATGAACCCCAGTGCTTTTTGGGGGAGCCCAGTTTGTCAGTTATTAAAAACTACTCAAGACTGGCCAAGTACTCAATCTGAAAAAAAATATATATAAAACTTCATTTTATTACAGTCCAAGATTGCTATGGCTTATAGGTAAGAGAATGGCACTATTACAGTTTAGCCCCCAAAAGTTTTTGATAAAATAACAGCCAAAAACATTACAGTGTCGTTTTCAAGATTAAGATCAAATTCTTACACAAGCCTTGATATGCTGGTCTGTGGTCACATGCAAATAGTATTTCCCCTTAAAACCTTCTCTCTACACCCAAGGATTTCGTAGTCTTGGGAAATCCCATTCTCAGAAAAACTCTCTTACAACTCAAGCCACTTCTACAGAAAAATTCTTCACTAACCACTAAGCTTAAGAGAGCTGCTCCCTTTCAGGCAAGAGGAAATCATTCCCATCTTTTGCAATGCAGTATGTTTAACTATGAAAATAAACTGTCTAAGCATTATAAACAGAAAAACTCTGACATGGTGGAAGAAATATGAAACTCATCATTTACTCTACACTGAGGCTTGTCATTCCTGTAAATTCATAATCCCTTTCTAAATAGACTCAACAAGTTGGTAACTAATCATCCATTAGAAAATATGGGCACTGAGGCAAAAAACACCATCTGCACTTTGGCAAATGAATTATTTAATATTTATTTTTCACATTGTTGTCATCAGGAGGACTACTGAAAGTGCACTTCTTTGTAAAATAACACTTAAAAAATATATAATGAACGTTGAATGCATGCACATGCTTGAAACCCGTTTGTAGCAACCATGCAACCGTGGGTTATAAGGCAGGTGTAACTTCAGCTTTAAAGACAGCAATCACATTCCAGAAATTTTTAATTATTGAGGAATGTACAACATCCAACACCGTACATGTGTATTTTATTAGTAACAATCAGAATGCTTTACCATGCTGATGACTGAAACACTCGAGGGTTCTAAAGGTTTCGGAAGCATCTGCCACCCAGCCTTTCTCCAGCAGCTGCAGCCCCTGCCTGCCCCCCAGGGTGGCACCGTGAGGAGCACAGTTTCCCAGCCCCATTTTCACATGGTTTTGTGGTTTCCTGCTAGTTCTCCACTGCTTGCTTTCTGTTTCACACAGAGGAGAAGCAAATGCCCTGTGGCACACGCACTTCTTCCCAGGGCCATGTGTCTGTGTAATTCACCCTTCCGCTGCTAGGCCTGACAACAACAACATTTTCCACCCACCAGCAAGGGAAACGCTGGAATGTAAAATTCAATAGAGCACCTTAAAATGTTGAAGTGCTCCCACAGGGCTCACACCCACTCACACATTGCTCTTTTCTGACCTATTTCTATATTTGGACTATGTATGTTGTATGAATTGCTATGGACTGTAGGAATAAGCCGGGCACCAGCTGTGTTGTTCCAAGTTCAAACCTGTAAAAACACTATACCTTGTTGGAACGCCTTGTTCCACATTGACTTTAAAATTAGTTAAAGCAGGTTTAAAAAAATTGCAGATAGGTAAGCCTTTGCACTAACTATAGGCACAGATGTTACAAATGTTTATAAAACACATTGATGAAGAAATGAAAGAAATGTCATGTTTGGTTACCTTACACAAGGGCTAACTGGCAGTTTAATCCTAAATCAGATTGTGCCTCTGTTCTAACTTCGCCATGAAGAAAAATTGTCTCCTTTTCCAACTATGGTAGTTGTAATTAAGTAGATCAGGCTTATTTTCAAACATTCTGTGCTATTTTACAGTTTGTCAGTCTTTTAATTGTATAAGCCATAATACATGAAAAATTAAACTCTTCAGAACTTCCTCTTCACAGAGTTAACAATCAAGTTTCTATTTCTCTAGAGGCACCCTTTTTTAGCACAGCAGCACATAGTATAGAGTCCACTGAGTCAACAATTTCTTCATTATCAGATGACTCAACCAATGCCTTCAAATTTATCCTTTTCTCCTTATCAGAATCAAGCTGCAAATGTTAAGACTGCACAGAGTCTCCCTGAATTGGCCCTGCCACATTCAGGTGAATGTGAAGTGCACCTGGTGAATGAAAGGCCCTCTGAAAGAACAAGAAAATGGCTAAATTGTGACAATGACATTAGTATTGAAGATACCAACAGGAGACAAGGAGAGAATGGCCAAAACCACAAGGAGTGCAAAGCCAAGAAAAATACACACTAATGCTGGATAACTGGATTAATCTTTTTGTTTTCTATTTTTACTTGAGGGAAATGGTCATCTTTGAAACTTTATTCAAAAAGGAATGTTAAAGATTCATATTATTTTTGAAATGTGTTACGCATAGAATCATAGAATATGCTGAGCTGGAAGGGACCCATCAGGATTATCGAGTCCAGATCCTGACCCTGCACAGGACAACAGAATCCCACCCTGTGCCTGAGAGCGTTGTCCAAACCCTCCTTTAAGTCTGTCATGCTTGGTGCTGTGACCATTTCCACGTGGAGCCTGTTCCAGTGCTCAACCACCCTCTGGGCGGAGAACCTTATCCTGATATCCAGCCTAAACCTCCGCTGACACAGTTTCAGAATATTCCCTCGGGTGCTGTCACAGGTCACCAGAGCCCAGTAAAAACCGCGGTTTATGCGCTCAGTCACAAGACGCTTGGGCTGGAATCCCGGCCGCGGACACGGATGATGCTGATGCCGATGCCGATCCAGCGCCGCCCTCCCCGCTCTCCCCTTCCCTCCTCCGGCGGGCGGGGCGGCCGCTGTGGGATCCAGGGCCGCCGTGGGAGCCATGGCCGCCTCCCGAGGGAAGCGGGGCGGCTCCTACGAGAGGCTGAGCCCCACGGGCACGGAGGTGACGGGGCTGGCGCGGGGTCCGGGCGGGGAGGGGGTTCTGGGGCTGGGGGGGACCCCGAGCGGCCACCGCCTCCCACGGCCGCCTCCTGCCCGCCCGGAGCTCGGGTGGGGTTCGTGCCGGGGCTGCGTCCAAGAACCGCGGCTGATGTGTCCTGGGAGGATGGGGGTTGTGTCCTTTGGATGGAGCTCTGCCACGGATAGGAACGGGCGCAGGATTTAAGCAGGGAATGCTTGTGACCAGGGCTTGCGCCTTGTGTAAACACTCCGTGCTGCACCAGCAGGTCTGTGTTTGTCGGTGTAGGGCTCTTTGTCCCGTGGTTGTTCTTTGGTTTTTGTTGGTTTGTTTTTTTTTTTTTTTTTTCCCTCGGCTTGTCTTGTAATCATTCGGGTTTTTAGCTGAAAGCACAAGAAAAACTTCTGTGGAAAGAGACAGAGGAGCCCCGGGCAGGTCCCGGTTGTGTCGGTGGGTGTCCCACGGCATCTGCCGGAAAGGGATGCAACTGCGTCCTCGGTCAGGAATTACTTAAGGAGGTAACTGCCGAGGGACAGAATTCACTCCCTGGGTGTGCTGAAGTCATTCCTGGGTGTGGATAAACATTCCTCGGGAAATACGGGAGAGTTCGTGTATTTGTTTGCCTTTGTTACACTTATCTCCAGCTCACTGTGAAATTGGCAGCAGCGCACAAGGCTCGTACTCTTCGTATTTTTGTGTGCATGTTAGCAGTGCTTAATCTCTTAGGGTCTGAAAGGAGCCTGCTGTCCTATTTAGGTTTTAGCAGTTAATAACCATTAATAACTACGTTTTCAAAAGGAAAAAAAAAAAAACAAAAACAAACCCACAGGATTTTAACGATAAATATTTAAGGAAGGTTTGCTTGTTTCACACGTGGGATGGAACAATATGTCAGGTTGGAAGGTGCCCGTAAAGGATGATCAAGTTGGAAGGAACCCATAAGGATCATCAAATCCAACTCCTGTATTTTACTGTTAGTGTGAGGGTACTCTAGGGTATGTGTAAACAGTGTGAGATCAAGCTGAAGTGGTGGCTAATGTCCTCTTACAGCCAGTTAAGTTGTATTAATTCGTGAGACTGTAGATCTCTTTCATTCTTCATACCTGGTGTTAGAGTGTATTGGTGCAAGAAGGCGACAGGCAAAAAAAAGTCTATGTAGAGGCCTTATTATAGGTCAGAATGAAATAACTTCTGAAAACTACATATTTAGTAAAGAAATTTAAAAAAAAAGCCACCAACTTTTTCTTCATGCTTTCAAGTATCACTGAAATGTTTTCCCTTGTTCTTTTTTTGAACAGAAATACAACACTGAAGAGAATGTTTTTTTCTTCAGTAAATTGACATATTCCTGGTTTAGCAGGTGAGAATTTAATAAACTGCTTGTTGCTGTTCACTGATACTCAGAGAACTGAAGACTGTGCACTTACTTTCCAGAATATCATTCTGTCTTGAGCCTAAGATTGCTATTAGATTTTTGTAGAAAAATCAAAGTTTGCAACACATAGAGGTCATATTCAAATCTCTATTGTTTATACATAATAACAGGGATTTTATACATTATCTAATGGCATTATTGAAAACATTTTGAAAACTGAACACATTGTTCTTTGTCACAGCAGATAATACTTTTAGACAAGGGGATATAAAAGGCCAGATTAAACTATCCTTCTTTATTTGTTATCCTTTTTTATTTATTACCCGTCTGTGTAAAGTTTGGCAATATACAAATAAGATTTCCTTTATATGGATGTGATCAACTATATGTGGTGATCATCTATCTGAATCTCCAGAAACAAATATTCAGCAGTGCATGTAAGGTTTTTTCCCAAGTAGCCAACTTCACACTCATTTTCCTCCCTCTTTTATGGCAGGTCACAAATTATAACTGTAGCTCACCTGCTCACATAGAATAGGAAGTTTCTCTGCTGCTTGAGAAATTTTCCACCAAAAAATAGGAACTGAAAACTCAACTCTATCAAATCACACAGCTTCCTGTCACTTAATATTTTGAATGTTATTTTAGACAATTTTGTATGTTATGTTTTGTGACCATTACTAATTTTTAACTTTTTTTTTTCTTGAAAAATGACTGGAGTCAGACTTACACACTTCAAAAATCCAAAAATGGGGAAAAATATGTTTCTTGCTTTATTCAATATTCATAATTTTAAGGAAAAACTGAAAATTATATTTGCTGTTAATAAGCTGAGACAAAACATCAGATTGTTTCAAGGATTCAGAGTATTCAGTTAAACTCTGGCCTTGTTGAAGTTACAGGAGTTCACCTTTGTTTTTTACCAATCCTTACATTCTACACCATAAATACAAATTTTTAGTTTTTCTAAGTTGTGCAGTTTACTGAGTGCTTCTGTACGACATTATGAGTTCTTTATGTCACAGTGTTTGCCCAAATTTTCAAACTAGACTGTCTTTTGTATATTTTAACCATTTTCACAATGTTTAACAAAAGAAGAAAAAAACCAACTGAAAAAATATTTCATATTGTGAACATTAGATATATTCCCTCTTTTCAATCACAGGTAAACAGGATAAATTATGGCTCTCATGTTCTCACCTTAAGTGCTTGCAATAACAATGAGGAAGTCTCAAATTCATTGTTGCATAATAAACCCATAATCCTGTATTATGATTCTTTAGAAATCAGGCATTCTGAAGGTTATGGTTTAGTAGATCTGTTTATCCTCTGGCAGCAGTGAGTTTTAGAATTGAGATGCATTATGCAGAATTCTTGAAAAACAGTTCCTACTCAAGTACCAATCAGTCTGCTTCCCTCACCTGTCTGAAAAACTGATACTTTTAATGGGAGACTGTGTTAATTTTTTGCCTTAATTTATCATACTTAAGACAAATGCACTTCGTATTAATGTTACATCTTCAGTAGATGTTTGGGTGCCCCTGGGGATAGTGAGGTCCACACTCACCAGAATTTCTCAACCTCCAAAAAAAGCATTTTCGAGTCCTGTTTTGTGTCCTGTGAAAAGCACAGTAGCACACACAGTATCCCCAAGGCCAGCACTGGCACTGAGGGGCACGGGAATGATACACACTGGAAGGGCACGCGTGAGGAGATGGACACCGTGCTTGTGTTGCAGCGTTCAGGCAGGGAGATCCTCACCGACTAAAAAGCGTGAGAGCTGACACTGACATTCTCAAGACCAGTTTTAGGGGTTTTTTACACTGAAGTGGATGAAAGCACTTTGTTAAAACAAAATTTCAACAGCTGAAGGTTTGCTGTAGGGAAACTTCCATTATACTTGTGCTGAAACCTAGTACTTTATTGTTGTTACCTTGCTTAAAGAGGAGCTGCAGCATGAGTCACCATCCCTGGAGGTGTTTAAAAGATGGGTAGACATGGCACTTGGGGACATCCTTTAATGGTAGACTTGGTGCTGTTAGGCTGACTGTTAAAATCATCTTAAGGGGTTTTTCCAACCTAAATGATCCTGGAATTCAGTGATAACACACTCTTGTAATAGAAATGGCATTTCATTCCAGATCAGAATAGTAAGTGGGTAATGGTACTACACATGTCTGTTTATGAAGTACTGTGTTTTTCTGTAAAGAAATACAGGATCAGAAATGGAGACAGATTCTGAGGTACAAAAGTTCCTGACAATCTGCTTGGGCTTTCCTTACTTCAGTGTAAATTTCAGTGTATTCAAGGTAATTGTAAATATGTTCCACTGTTTAGTCTGTAGCTTTTATAGGATTACATATATTATTTTGATTATAAAATTTATTTATATACACAAAATTATATAATCATCTTTTTGACTTATTAGTTCTGCTTGTTTTGTCTGCTGCATTTCAAGCTGTGTAAATTAATTGCTTTCTTTCAGAGTGATATCTACAGGCTACAAGAAGCAATTGGAAAGGGAGGACCTGTTTGAACTCAATGAAAGTGATTCACCATACAGTGTGTGTCCTAACTTTGAAAAGCAATGGAGAAAAGAAATCCAGAGGCCTACTACAGGATTAATGGTAGCTATAATTCTGACAATAGACAATATCCTTTTCCAAAGTTAAGGTGTCTGGAAGCTGGAGAAGATTTCAAAAATCTTGTTGTTTATTGAACAGCCTACATTTTGTAGGACACAGAGGCCCCTTGGTGTTGGGATCAGTGATCTCTAACATGGCTATAGAACCGATCTCTAATATGGCTATAGAATTTTCAAACTTGCCTCTTAGAATGATATCCTGTTACATTTCAACATTTCAAGTGATAAGGAATATACTGTGATGGGTATAGAATGTACAGTGACTTTTATTTGTTGATGAATTACCGTATTACCAAACGGTACAACTAATTTCCCTCTGAACTTTTCTACTTTCCTATGTCTTATCTTTGCATCTGTATTTCAGGTAGTAGAAGAGTTTATGAGCAGCTTGTTTATTTGTAGTCACTGTCTTACAGAACACACAAAGCAAGCTTCAGTTTTCTTTAATTTCAACAATACTGAGTTTTACAGATATTTGGGGTTTTCTTGCTTGAGTCTTGTTTTACATTTTTATGTAAATCCTTAACAGTTCCAGTCACAGTTACTATTTGTTGTAGTTCCAATGCACAGTAGTTCCAGTGTAGTTCCAAGCTCTGTAATGTCAGGAAGTTCACAGGATTAGAATGTCACCCGTAAGAGTGTGGTTGCTTTTTAATGACTTACTGATGAGTCCTACAGAGTCTCATCTTACTGCATCTCATCAGTGTTTTTCTTAGCTATTTGTGCATTTGCCCTTCCTTCCACTGATGATATGAAACCTCAAACCCTTTCTACTGGAGCATTTTAAAGTATTTGCCACTAAGGATAATTTTAAATTCAGAAACTGTTTTTATTATTTGATAATCTGAAAAAAAAAATCCTGTCACCATTATGATGATTAAGAAAAGCTCTTTTTTTTGAGCCCTTGTATGAATCTTTGCAATTGTTTGAGCTAAATTTAAACTGCAAAAAATATTTGACAACTTTCCAACTGATAATATAGAAGGGTTATTCAACCTTAAATATAAAGATGCTGTAAGCCTGCTGTAAGTTAGGATGAATTTAAATTGAAGCTTATCTCTGGATATTTTGACACATTTTTTTTTGACCTGAGAATGAAAGTGTATTGTAATTATATTCGGGGATGATTGGAGCAACCCTAGAAATTACATTTATCCTGTCCAGGATGACTATTGGTCAGGCTAAGTAAAATAAGGCTTTATTTCTTACTGCAAAGCCTCACTTTTAACTGTGGGAAATGTGATTTTTCAGATACACTGATGGTGTTAGATGCACACTCTAATGTTACATATGTTATATTGTAATGTGGGTGAAGTTCAAAAATTTTTTTCTCTTAATTCAGTATATGTTTTTGTAATCTTGCAGGCTTCTTACATCCAAAGAATGCTATTGAAGAAAACAAGTTTCCATAAACCTTCTTTGATTTTGCCCTTATGGCAAACATTTAAATATTTATTGATTAAAGTTGCATTTCTGAAAGTTGCAACTGACATTCTGGCTTTTGTGAGTCCACAAATAATGAAGTAAGTTTTTAATGTGTTTTACTTTATTTTCGAAGAGAAACGGTAGTAATAAAGTTAAAGGGTTACCAATATCAGAACCAAACTAAGCAACAGCTTAAATATTTAAAAGATTTTATCCTCCTCTTCTGTGATTACCTGAAAATGATTTAATGAGGGAAAGGTCAAAGCAATCAGAAATTTTATAGCTAAAGCAGAGACAAAACCAATAGAAGTTCCACAATACTGTGTATTGTAAGTAGTTAATATGCATAAATTAAAAAAATCAAATATTAAGAAAAAGGGACTACAAAGATACCAAACTTTCCTGCTTTTTTGTCATTGTTTTTCCATCTCTACTTTTAAAAAACCTCAAATATATAAATATAGAGTGAGCTTCAGCATTTAATGGAAAACTGCAATTATTCTGTTATCATATTGTTTGTATCATGAAGTTCCAGTGAGATTGGTACCAAGTGGTTTTTGTAAATTGTGCTGACCACAGAGGTGTTAGGAATTGATCAAACACTTGAGTGTTTATAAAGAAAAGACTTATTGAACAGAACTATCATTAAGCTTCAAACTATATCCTGGATCAGTGTAATCCTGAACAAAATGGTTGACCATAAAATCTGTTTGAAGATGTCATGGTCGATGTTTATATAAAATAATCTTTTAGTAAAACACGAAAATCAGAATTTTCCTCTAGATTTTTTTTTTCTCTCGCTTTCATGTTTGGCAGTTGCAACCTTTCTAAGTACAAATATCTAATTATTTTTCCTTTTTTTCTTTTATGAAATAGTTTTGTTTTATTCTTTATTTGTACTCCATTTTCAGAGAAGTTAGCAACAGCACATGTCTAGATTTGTATTGGAGAATTGTTTCTAAGCTAACAAATTCAAGAACACTGATAAAACCAGTCATTTTTAACATCATATTTTGTTGTGACCTTCCACCATAACTGGACCTAAAATAGTCTCAATTAAACTCAATATCTCAGTTTATTGAGCTTTTTGTTGTTGGTTGTTGATTTAATGGGCAGAATTTAAAATTCTTTTTTTTTTTCACTTTCAGAGCAATGATAGTGGCCAGTGAAAGTCAGCCTAGCTCATATTGGAGGGGTTGTGGCTATGCTATTGCCCTGTTTGTTGTAGTTCTCTCACAAACTCTTCTCCATCAGTTATACCAACGTAACAACATACTTACTGCAGTCAAAATCAAGACTGCAGTTGTTGGCCTGATATACAAAAAGGTAATCACGTGTTCTTCTACTTCTCCTTCAAAACAAAACCTAAAACATAAACACAGTGTTCAAAGACCAATGTGCCAACAAGCCTAATCAAAACACAGGATGTGATACACTCAGTGACAGGATAACAAACTGAGGTTATTTTTTGATGGTTGTTTATTTATAATAATTTGGAATTTCAGCGGCATTTCTGTTGTAAGACTCTGAGCCTGAAACTACAAACTCTTTTGCCAGCCACATGTACAGACATAATGTTGGAGATAGATGTAGAAACTGAATTCTATTTTGATTATGGGTTAAGTTCCCAAATTTGCTGAACGACATGAGAAAACTGGTTAGGTTGGATGTCTGGGAAAAATAAAGGTGTCAATGGTCACTATATAGTACTATATCACTATATAGTAGCAGTGAATATGAGAGGCTGAAGTTTGCCACTCTGTCTCCTTTGGGGCTTGCCGTTTCCCCCAATTTTAGTTAACTTGCTTTTGAGTTGAATATGCAGTAGTTTCATTGATTTTCAGATTTTTAAAAGATGGCTAACTACTGTGGAAATCTGTAGCTTATTCCACCTTTAATAAGATACACTGAGCATTAGCTAATTTAATAAGAAACACACCATTAGCTACAAGAGATGCAAATGCTTGTAATGCAGAAGTAAAAAAGGTGGTCTGATCTGCTAAACTTAAAAACTTTTACTGTCCTGTTATTTTGTAGGATATGAGATAAGGCTGGTTTCTCAGTGCTGCATCTTTAGTTTACTTTGTCATGAACAGGGCACATGGGTATTTTTACTGCAGTATTTAACTATTAAGCATAAGTTAAAGAAGGAGATAACCAAAAGCTGAACTAAATTACTGTCTTTGTTAATTTAAAATACAGTCTCTTTCTCAAGAGTCAAATTGATTTTTTGGCATAGGCTTCTGAGGTATTTGCTGAATCAGTACACAAAATTTTACTGGTAACTTGCAAATGAGTTCAATAAAGGAGTTAATTCTCTCAAGCTGCATGGCAAGGTGTGTCAGTGCATCAGGTCATGAGCAGGACAACAGAGGCTTCAGTTGGAGCGGGCACATATTCTGGGAAGTTTTCTCACTTACAGAGTAGAGATACAGACTCTTCCTCTCTCTTGGTAGAGTTGATTAGTGAATGTCAGGCCAGGGCTGTGTTTGACACATGGGGTGGATGATGGAGTGAGCTGCAGCAGCACTGTCTTGTTGCATGCAGGAGTTCGAGGTGACACAGTGGAAAAGTGTGAGGCACTAACAGGGAGAGAGAGCGTGTGTGTGTGTGAGCTTATCTGGGCATCAGTGCCGAGACACCAGGGACTTGTGGTACATGCCTGCCACACTGGAATGGTGCCTCTTCTTGCTGTGAAGCCTGTTGATGCTGGTTCCTGAACTGGGAGATTCTAAGCCAGGCCAAAGCTGAGGCTTTCTGAGCCCTCTTTTGACCATGTTGCTATAAAGAGTTGCAAGTCTGTTTCACCAATTCAGCTTTGCTCCACTTACTGTCCCCTTAAGCAATGTGACCTCTGTATTTTCTGGTTGCAGGCCTTAACTTTAGCAAATTCCTCACGACAAAACTATACAACTGGGCAGATTGTTAACCTGATGTCAGCAGATGCTCAGCAGCTCCTGGAGCTAGCTATCAACATGAACCTGTTGTGGTCGGCACCTTTTCAGATCGCCACAGCTGTCATCTTCCTCTGGAAAGAGCTCGGCCCCTCAGTCCTAGCAGGTGTTGCACTGCTGCTTTTGGTCATACCTGTAAATGCACGCATTGCAGCCAAAGTAAGAAGGCTGAAGGTGAGATGTTTGAATAAGCACAATAATTAAGTTGTCATAAAGCGCTGTTAAAATAGTGTTGGTACATCTAAGCAAACCCGCAGACAAATAAACTGTGCCAAGCTGCAGCTCTTCCTCAGTGAGTCGGGGGAAGTGTAACTGCAGGAGCCAAGCCATATGTTTGGTAGCTAAACCAGTGTGTAGGTTGGATACCTAAATTTTCATTTTTCTGAAAGAATATTTTTGCGTTACTGAAAATCACTGTATGACTCGATGTAGGAAACAGCTATGGGGTTTTTTTCGCATATGACATGAGCTAATTCCATTCAGTAAGGGATTTTGTAGGATTATGACCCTTTCCACATCTATTATTCAGGCTAAGCTGCTCAGTAAAAATTTAGCATGTTCTCCTGAGGTTATGGGAATTCCTCTAGAGGTAGTGTGTGTGTGTTCTGACTTCTTTTATGCTTCTCTGATGCTACAGATCTCTTGGCACTGTATTACCTGTTACTCTTAAAATTTCTGTGAGCTCCACTGGAAAAAATACTACTACTTTAAGTCTTGCATTGCTTTCAAGGCAATTTGTTGTCTTATTCTATCTTTGATGGTGTATCATGCAATGAAGACTGTCCCCATTAATTCTTTTTTAAGGCTGTGACAGTTTAGAGACATTGACAAAAAACCCAAAAAACCCTCTCACCTCTTTTGCAGGTGAGGTACAGCAGCTGCAAATGAACTTAGATCCCTAATGTGACATGAGAGAGAGAGAAATACAAAGGACAATAAAATCATTCTGTCTAAAAGTTTTCAACTTATTATTATAAATGAATAAGACTCCAAACAGTAAAGAGGCTGTTACTGAGTATTTTTGAAATGTGAGATGCAGAAGAGCCTGAGTATAGCATTAGAGTGAGGAGAATTTCTGGTTTTTTTGGTTGTTTTAATAACAATGTATTCATCAGTAACAGAGGAAATTTTCTTCCTAATTCCTGTATGTATACATATATATATGTATACAGTGTTTTATATTCATATAGTTACATATATATTCACGTGTGTGTGTGTGTGTGTGTGTGTGTGTGTGTGTGTGTGTGTATTTAGTGTTACACAATATTATTATTGAGTCTGTATTTACCTGTTTAGCAATTTTTAAGATTACAAAACATTACCGTTCCTGAACACCCTGGGAACTGGAAGCCTGTTAAGATTTTAATTCAGTGGAAAGAAAAGTAAACTGGACAAGAACTGAAATGTGCATTTAAGCTATTTTAGGGTAAAATAGTTATTTTAATGTATTTATTCCCATCTAATTTTTTTTTTTTACTATATCTGTGTGAAACTGGTATTACTGCAGTGCTAATGTGTTTTTCAACAAGGTAAAAATAGCATAAAAGTGTCTGTAGTGCACTGCATATTTCACTTTCCAAAAGCATTCATTTTTTGAAAAATGAAAACATTTCTTTCTTTTAACCAGAAAAGCCAAATGAAGTATTCGGATCAACAAGTCAAGCTATTAAGTGAAATATTACATGGAATAAAGGTAATGACACAACTAATAAGGGATTTTGGTTTTTTTTAGTTAGGTTGTAAATGTAGTAACTTATTTTAAAAACTTAGGTTTTATGAGTAATGTTTCAGCTAACAATGATAAGAGCTTAAAGATACAATGTTTTAACATAGTGTGCTTACAGGGTTTTTGGAAAATATTTACTGGTTTAATTTGAAAAACTCTGTATCCATGATGCATTAATTTTATTACCAAATTTTTAATTAAAAGATAAAATATGTTAATAGATTTCTTAAAACATTTAGCAGAGTGAGATTGTAGCATAGAAGAAAAGCACTTTTAAAAGTTGTCTTATTTTTGTTATTTATCCTGTTTTGAAACCAACTCATCCTTTATGATACATAAGGGACACTTTGAAATCTGAAGACTTAAGAGTGACTAAAGTATATTTCCCATAAGAACAACCTAATTTAAAGTTACGTCTGGTCCTACTTTCCTTTGTAAAACATTCACATTTTTCTAGTTCGTCATTGGTGAATGTTTGAAAATGACCTTGGAGATTAGGTTAATTTCTGAAGCCTGGTCACTGCTTTTTTGTTTTATTAAAATATATCTGTTTGATTGTCTAGATCCTGAAACTTTATGCGTGGGAACCTGCCTATCAAAGGAAGGTCTTGAGCATCAGAGAACATGAAGTGGATGTTCTGAAGTCATCTTGATATCTGACAACTTACTCCATGCTGACCTTGACATGTATTCCTTTTATGGTTGGTTTTATAAAAGTATTAATTTGTGCAGGACTGTTTCTCAAGTTCCCTTTCTTTTTAGTAGCTGACTGGCTCACAAATGTTGCCTCCTAGTGCCTCAAAACATTAAATTTTCAACACAATATATTTGAATTCTCAGGTTATTATAGTATGTATATGACTAGAGAAGAAGGAGAGAAATTGTGAATTGACCAAGGTTTTAGGTCAAGGTTTTAAAGACCTCCACTAGAAAGTCAGAAACCAAATCCAAAAGTCCTGAATCTCGTGTCACTGTTTTAATTATACTGTTTCTGTTGCGTAGAACTCAACTCCCTATGAGTTTTAAAGGAATGAACTTTCTGTATTTTTTAGCTATCCCCTCTCAAACTACTACTAAGACTCTAAATACATGAAAAATAAAAAAAAAATGAAGCAAATTCATCCTAGCCTTCTTTCAGTGGAATTCTATCAGGAGTACATTCAGATCTTTGAGTCTTTACACCCCTCCACTAAACTCCATTGGAAAGTAAATGGAGACTTCAGGACTTTGGGATGACTGATTAAGGGATCAGGAGCACAGTGTTCTCCTCTGTCCTTCCAGTTGCAGGGAATGATAAAGGAAGAAACAGGATGAGCAAGCTCCAAGCCTAGTGTCACCAGCAGAATTTTGGATTTTTGGATTGTGGATTGGTCTATACGACAGCAGGCCTGCTGGCAACAAATGGGGTGCACATGTCTCAGAGCAGGAAAGGATCTTTGTGCAGGAGTAAGAGGGGATCACTGAGAGGGCTTTAAGCTAAATTTGGAGGTGAAAAGGGATAAAACCCACCTCACTAGATATTCTCCAGGGGAATGCTGTGGGTAATGGTGTCAAAGGCTTTGCTAAAAGAAGGAATTCCTAAAGGTACAGGAACAGGCCATCCCCATGTACTGAAAAATGAGCTGTGGAGAGGAGGCTGACCTGGCTGAACTGGGGGGAAAAAGGAGAGTTCATGACATTTGGAAGAAGGTTCAGGCAACTTAGGAGGACTGCAAGGAAGTTCTGAGGTTCTGCAGGGAGAAAATAAGAAGACCCAAGACCCGGCTAGAACTTACCTGTCTACTGCTGTAAAAGACGATAAGAAATGTTTCTATAAATAGATCAGCAACAAAAGGAGTTCTGTAGAGAATCTCCATCCTTTGTTGGATGGGAGGGAAACTTAGCGACAAAGGCTGAGGGAAAGACTCAGGTACATTTAATGTCTTATTTTCCTCAGTCTTTAATAGTGTAAGGCCAGTTGTGCTTCAGGTACCCAGGCCCCTCAGCTGGAATACAGGGACAGGGAGCAGAATGAAGCCCCCATAATCCAGGGGGAAATAGTCAGTGACCTGCTACGTCACTTGGACACTGCCAGGTCTGTGGGGCTGGATGGGATCCACCCAAGGCTACTGAGGGCTCTTGGAAGTGCTCAGATGTGACACCCATCCACAAGAAGGGTTGGAAGGAGGGTCTGGGGAACTACACGCCTGTCAGCCTGACCTTGGTGCTGGGATAGGTCATGGAGCTGATCATCTTGAATGCAGGGCAACCAGGGGATTAGGCCAAGCCAGGATGGCACCCTGAGATGGGGAAGTTATTTCATATAGTTTGATGTGTGTCTGCTTGCGTCAAACACAGCAGCCATGTTTTTTGTTCACTAAAATTGTAGTACTTCTGCGCTCAGCATTGCAGCTATGCATTAACTTCTGTGTGCAGCAGTTACAGAGTCTGTGTTTATACATGAGCAGAAATGGGATCTTCTAAATGAAAACAAAAACAGTATCTGTGTAAACATTTTAGTTATGATGTGATTTTACTGCTTAATATATCTTTGTCTTTTTTTATTAAAAAGGTCTCATTGGCTACATTTGGAGTCTTCTTTCATCTGGACAAAGAGAATGTTTTAACAGCAATGAAAGTGTTTACATCTATTTCTTTATTCAACATTTTGCGACAGCCTTTGTTTGATTTACCCTCTGTGATCTCTGCTGTAGCCCAGGTAAGCCTACTATGAACAAGTGCTATAAAAGGCTAATTTTTTATTCTGTCATGTTTCAGCCATTTCTAGGAGTGATGAAGTAACTTGATTAAACTGTTTAAAGGATGTCTTTTAAGTACAGTGAAAATTGGGTAGCACACCTAATTGTGACTGAGCTTTCTGTTTCTTGCTTTTCTTCCTTCAGTGGACTAGACTCACCTTCTGTTCCTACTCTCTCAATCTCTCTTCCTCATAGAAGATACGGTATGAACAATTTGGGCTACATATGGTTAAATCCCTGAGCCACTGTTATATATTGGAGCCCTTGGTATCAAGTAGGGAAGACCCATTGTGGATCCTACTATTCTGGTTTTGTCAAGTCACCACTGAAGGAATTGGAGAAAAAAGGAATAGAGCTGCTGAGGATCCCATGTCAGCAACCTTCAGGCCTAATGGTACACCAGTAGTGTTGCCACCTGAGTTGGGAACTTCCAGCTTTTAATACCCTGTTCTTTATTATGGTTATCATATGAGCTGCTCATGAATGTACTCGGTCACAGCTTGTACACAACTCAGCCTTTGTAAGGGAGGGGACCACTGGGAACTATTACCCATCCTGATTTGATTTAATTTATGATTAGCATACTGTTAGATCCAAACCTTTTCTTTTCCTGTTGGTTAACTTCTAGTAGCTTAAAAATAAGCACAAGCATAAGTTAATGTCTCTTCGTCCCAGCACAGTGATGGATATCTCATGATGCACCCACAGTAAAATGTCTTTCTTCATTCTGTGAAGAGAGACTTCCTGTGCACTATTTCTTAACAAACAAACAAACGAACAAAAAAAGCTAAACCACAGGTTTATGAAAACAAACCAATTGAGTCAGAGGAACTGGACATTCAAGGATGAAATATATCTTCAAACACTGGCTTATTGATTACTTTAGATTGTTTAGTACTTTAAAGAAAATGTTTCTGAAATACCTAAACACCTGTTCTGTCTGTCATTAAATAAGATGAGGAGTCTGCCTTTCCATATGATCTAGAACTTTTAAAATATTATTTAAAATTATAGGGAGCACAGACATGTTATAAATATTGTATGTATGTTCATTTTGTAGACCAAAGTTTCTCTGAGCCGTTTAGAAGATTTTCTGTTTGCTGAGGATCTTAACCCTGAGGATGTCAGTACAAACTACAGTGGAAGTAAGCAATAGTTATTAATTTTTAATTGGTCATCATTTTATATGGAAGATTATTAAGAAACTCAACTGAGGCGATGGATTAGCAACTCTTTGCTCTGTTTTCTTTACTGCAACAGATCATGCTGTTGGTTTTACTGGTGCTTCTTTCCGCTGGGAGAAAAATGGCCTGCCAGTTTTGAAAAAGTAAGGTGTTTGTTACTTATTTTTATGAGCTCCTTTGGCAGAATGTGATGTCTGTAGAGATTTTGATCAGATTAAATGTATTCTGATTTGGATTAATTCATGTTGGTACATACCAAAATGAACATAAATTACTGTTTCCAGAGCCTCCCACATGATCAGTGTGCTCTGGAAAGTCAAATCTGACCTAGTCTCCCTGATGCTCTCAGAAGAACTACATGAAAGTGCATGTTCCCCAACACTGAAGGCTTTATGGGAAGCCCTCCCTCCCTCCCTCCCTCCCTTCCTCCCTCCCTTCCTCCCTTTTGTTGGTGTAGCATTTTGTATTGCCTACAAGTAAGCTAAGGTCATTTATGCATCCTTGCATTGAATACTGATCTGAAAATTTGGCTGTGGTTTCCTTTGGAAAAAGCAAACAAGCAAGAAGTTTGCTTTTCTCAGAGTGGTCCCTCTTTCCTGAAGACACCCTCATTTTGTTTGTCATTTCTTAACAAGATATTTCTTAGGTGTAAATTCACGCATGCCTAAACTGCTACGCAATGAACACATTGGAGGGTTAGTAAGGACATGGCATAACCAAGGCCTAGGGTGCAGTGGAGAAGCTATTTGATAAGATCTGTACAGTTGTTAAATGTTACTAAGGAGCTGAAGAGTTTAAAACCCACCCAGTCTAACCCTCTCACCATGCTGTCCAACCTGTTCCTCTCAGGGTTGGGACACTGAGTGTGCACATCTCAGCCACCATGGCCTGCAATATAGTGTCCAGTCATGAGCTGCCTTCAGCATCATATACAGACTTCATTAAACTCTGGTGTAGTCTCTGGGTACAGTCTTTCTCTTCCTCATTTGTGTTTCCAGCTGTAGTCTGAAGGGACTATGCTTATTGTAACATAAGGCCTTCAAATCAGAACGCATTTGGATCCAAAGAGTATGGAGTACAGGTACTGCATCTTGTATGCTAAAGTTTATGAGGACACACCGGGCTCCTTTTGGCAGCAAAATACACTGTCTCCCATTTGATTTAATTGTGACCAGATGAAAGCACAGCCTCTAACTTCGAGACAAATAAATTTATCCTTAAAGTCGTTAGTGCAGTTCTTGAAATGGTACATAGTCAAAAGATGTACAAACTGAAGTAATAATTTCTCATCGTTCTAAGTGTAATACAGAGTCTTTCTTTCTTACGGTGGCCACAACCCATCCATGATAGAGTGTTTACAGAGAGGATAACTAATTTTTCTTTCTCAATATTTCCAGCTTGAGTGTCAACATTCCTGAAGGCTCTTTAGTTGCTGTTGTGGGACAGGTTGGATCTGGAAAGTCATCTTTTCTTTCTGCTGTTCTTGGAGAAATGGAGAAACTTGAAGGAACAGTTCAGAGAAGAGTAAGATTGTCTGTCTGTGTCCCCCTGCCTTGCACATTCCTCAATACCTAAATTAAGCAGAACTGATTAATAGATTGTCGGAGGGCATGCAGCTTAGTGTAAGAAAATGTTTCAAAGCATTTCCAGTTATGGTTCCTATCCTGTAATCTTAAATTTTAAAGCTGATGTATTCCACAGCATATTATATAAAAATAAAAACAATCAAACTGTATTTTGATTTCTACCTAATGCAGAGCTATTTTGCTGCATATAACTATTACAATGGATGCCTGTTTGTCACTGTGATCTTTCCCTGGAACACTTTACTGCTTATATGTCCCAGCTCTGTCTGTTTTATTTGAAGTCATATGTGTTTTTATAATAATGATAGGCAATTCAACAGATTGCTTTTATTACCTGACTTAATAAAAATTCTAGCAGTTTAATAATACTCAAGTTTTGGAAGGAATTGCTGGTTCCTTTGAGGCAAAGCTGTAATTTCAAATCTATTTTTAAATGCTATATTGTGTGTTCACACCGCCCAAGTAAAAAAATTGTTTCCAATTCTTTTTAGGGTTCAGTGGCTTATGTTTCTCAGCAGGCTTGGATTCAAAATGACAGTTTACAGGAAAATATCCTCTTTGGTGCAGATCTAAACAGGCCATACTACGAACTTGTTTTAGAGTCTTGTGCTTTACTGCCAGATTTGGAACAGTTACCGAATGGAGACCAAACAGAGATTGGAGAAAGGGTGAGAATCTGAAGTGTCAGAAATAATGCAATAAGAGAAGTTGTGGCTTTATGGTTTCATATACTCTCTCTTGGATAATTGACACTAATGACTAATCAGTAATCAACCAAGTACATGTAGCCCATCTCCTTACTTAGCTTACTTTGAACTTCTGTTCAAGCTCTGAACTCTTATTAATTTTTAAAATGACCCTTTTCTATACAGATGTTTGTGTCAGCCCTGTCCTGTTCTCCAGGGGTTTCCTCTGTGCTGTAAAATGCCTATATGACTGCAAATAAAAGTTATGGTATTTTTTTTTATTATTTTCCAAAGTACCTTGCATTTGCCCATTTTGGAGTGGGAATAGTCAACAGAGCCCAAACTTTGCTCTAATTACTTGAAAATCCACATGTTGCCTTCCTATTTTCGTATGCAATATAAAATCTACTTTGATTACCTGAGAAAAAGAATGGTGGGACTGAGTATGATACACTGGTCTTTGTTAGTATTTCGTATTTAAATGTGGATTATTTTGGCTTTGCTTTCTTTTCTTAGGGTGTCAATATAAGTGGAGGGCAGAAGCAGAGAGTGAGCCTTGCTAGAGCTGTGTACAGCAATGCTGACTTGTATCTCCTGGATGACCCCCTGTCTGCTGTAGATGTACACGTTGGAAAACATCTTTTTGAGAAGCTAATTGGCCCTTCAGGTCTCCTAAAAGGCAAGGTAAAGTAGGATGGCTTCCTTTCTGTCAACTGCTTTGTACAATACAGCAGACATGTAAAAGTCCCAGTCCCTCTGCAAAAGCTCATCTCTTACCTCATATGTTGATGAAAATTATTCTGAATAAAGAGTCTGAATAAAAAGCACAGCTAATTATGCCATTTTGAAGCCTATTTGGTAGACGTAGCACAGACTGAAAAATGTGGGAATCTGAAAGACTCATGTAAGAGTTGCTCATCTCTACTGGCAGTTTCTGAGGGGTGATGTGGTGTGCACATGGAAGGCAGGGCAGAGCCCTTTGCAGTCACACATGGTGCCTCACGGAAGCAAACAGGTTATAGCCAGTATAGGTTATAGAAAGAAAGGCTTCTTGTTGGACAGAGAAGTTCGTAGGGGAAAGTGGAACCTGAGGAGATAGATTCTCCCATTTAAGAACTGTTGATGTGGGAATGTGAGATAGCTTGTAAAAATCTCCCCTCAGTGTTGTGAATTAGTACAGATTATTCCTGCTGGCTGCTGCCTGCAAAACACATGTATTAGCATGAAACACTTACTACTGTGTCTACATTTGTTGCTTCATAAATGTCCTTCACTTTGCCTCTCTCCCTTCTCTCTTTCCTTAGTTTACCTGCTCGATGTATGAGTATTTATACATTGGTTATAAGAATTTGGCAGAAGCAAGAGCTCTGTTAATGGTAGGCTTCTAAGCAGATTTTAATATTGAGACTATCGTGACTACATGTAGTGCATTAAAACCTGTAGTACCTAGGTGTTTTCTTTACAACCTAATCTAAACTATTCATGAGCAGGGAACAGGTAAGAAACATTAAGGATTAAGAAACAGGTAAACACAAGTAACAGTGAGTAGCTTTGAGCTTAAAGTTTATGTAGTCAATAAATAATAGCAATAATAATGATACTAAAGTAGACAAACAAATGAGCAATATCACAGAAGAATTCCATTATATCATTCCAGCAATCGTAACTGAATGTCTGCTTTTAGTATATTTTTATACTTACATGGCAAAATGGAAAACATTGTGTTTCAGACTCGTATATTGGTGACCCATAACCTCACAGTCCTGCCTCACACCGATCTTATAATAGTAATGGAGGAGGGCAGAATAAGTCAAATGGGGACCTACCAAGAACTCATTTCAAAGAGAGCTGATTTTGCTGAGCTTGTTCAAGACTTCGGTGCAGAGCGTACAAGTAAAGAGACAACCCCAGTGGAAGGTGAGAAAATTTGTACACAGTGTTTGCTTAGTATGTTTACTTTTCATTCCAGCTTCTCAAAATACTCCTCCTGAAAATGAACAGAAGAATTGCTGGAAAATGTAGAGCATTCCTGTCTATGTTTTGCTATAGAACTACAGGTTATAAGCTAAAAAAATCCTCAGGCTTTAATGTCTTCAGATCAGATAGTATGATAAAACCACCTTATGCAGCTGTTTTCAGCTTTTCCATATTGCATTAGTCACTATGTAAACTTCCCTGATTCTGCTAAGGACTTATCACCCAATAGGTAGCTATGGATATTTCAAACTGATCTTGCAGTGTAGATGATTTTGTCCTGTTTTGTATTGGATACTTTCCATTTCCATCACCTCAGACTGCTGTAACCATGGAGCACACCAGGAGGGGCAGGAGACTATGGTCCACTTGTAGGAGAAAAAAATTATTTAAACTTTTACTAGTCTTAGTAAATACTTCCAGCCAACAAGTAGACAGTGTAAACAAACATTGCATAATCCCTTAAAAAAGCTTGCAGTCATTCACTTGGATTGGGACTCAGCTTACCTCTGTACCTGAGCTGTTCCATGTGTGCTCTTTATGGAGCTGTGGGAAAGAAGCAGGTACATGGACCATTCAGTCTGACCTGTTTTCATTGTGCGCTTCAGGAGGAGATTAATTGTTGTTCTTTAATTTTGAGAGAAGGAATCTATCCACATGAACAGAAGAGTCCTGTAAGACCTAAGTGACTGCACATGTTTATAGTGCTATTTTCCAGTTATCTTAGCAGCTCTAAATTGAACATCCACTGGCCCTGTATCAGAGCTAGTGCTCTGAAACATTTGCTGGGGTTTGATGGGGAGGAGTGGAAAGACAGAAGAACAAATTTGCAAAACACAGCAGTCTTGTGTTAGCTGTGTTGGGATGGCAGTGTGAGGTAGCCCTATAAGGAAACATCCACTATTCACAAAGGCTAATAAGGAGAGGGAAGGGGAAACAAAGTCATGAGGAAAACAAAAAGCATTGCACCGTGTTGTGATACAAAATTGTGCAGCAGAGCTACACTCAGCAGGATGGCTGGATGTAGAAAATATCTTTGTCTTAACATGTGTTGACAAAAATTAACATCAAATATGAAAAAAAAAAAAAAAAGAAAAAAAAAGGAAGAAAAAAATCAGTTCCTGGAAGAAAAAAAGTGTCTGACTCCTTTCAACAACTCAAAAAGAACAGTAAGCTGAGCTTTCCAACCATGATCAAGGAAGCCTTTGAGATAAACACTAATGTTAATATTTGCAGGAATGCTAGCACTTTCACTAAGCAGGAATGGAATTCCAAGGATACTCTTGGCTCATGGGGGAGATTTACTTGCTGTCACAGTTCTAGCATTTGGTCACAAATGTGTCTGTCTTGTGTAGTAGCTGCCCAAATACTGGGTCAAGTTAAGGAGTTCCTAATTTAAAGTATCCCTCTTCATCATTTTGTCCCCATTTTTTATTTCTAGCCTCTTGTACTGTACCTGTCTACTCATGGTATAATACTGAAAAGATTTCTCTGCTTTTTTTCCATTGTAGTGAGTTCTTCAAAGGAAGAGGGACAGCTGGGAAGGAGCCCGCAACAAGAAGGCCTGCTGAAAAATAAGGAGTAGGTATTAAAAAAAAAAATAATTAACCGCTGTTTAACTGATGCAATGCTAGAACAACCCTAAGTGCTGAAGGCTGTGGCACCGTGCCTCACCGTGTAATCGTGGTTTAAGCCTGAATGCCCATTAGCAGTTCCCTGGAGAGCATGTGTCTGGTTTCCCTTTATACAAAAGAAATCCAGTGAAAGTGCTCTGAGTTCAGGAGGCCCAGTCCATGGGCTGCTTCACTGTGTGAAGCAAAGTATTTTTGGCAGGAGTGAGGGGAGCTTTCAGAAGACCAGCTGAAGCCTCTGATGTGGGTGCACCCACGATTCCCAGACAGCAGTTTTACTTCTTTATGATTACGTTGTTTATGCTCTTTTTTTTTTTTGTACTGTTGATTTCTCTTTTCCCACCTTTAAGAAAACTCATGGGCTCCCAAAGAGTTGAATGACCCCCTAGATCAGGAGTGCTGTATTTGGAATGGTAGAGGATAGTGCAGAGATGATGTAGAAGAGACTCAACCCAGAAAGTTAAGACAGTGTAGGTCACTTAAGCTGAACCAGCCTGGTCCAGAAGTTGTAGAATCAGATATGTCAGACAGTAAGAGAGACCCAAGTTGCCTCAGGAAAGGGTGGTCACACATCTCTAGCAGGGCAAACTCAGTCTTACCTACACATACAGGAAGTGAAAAGGCCATACCTAGTGTTGTCTTCTGACCGTAACGTTGATCTCACAGCAAAAGCAGAACAGCTCAGGACAGTTGGTGTCTCCGTAGGAAAAATTTACGTGATTTTATAGCATCCATTTTTGTTTGGGAATAAATGGATATATTCTTTGCATGAGGACTCACAAGAAGATTTGAAAGTGTTTCTTGTTTGCAGCTCTTCCTTTGGTCAGCGGAAAGCACACACTAACAATAAAGAGAAAGTTGCTGCTGGTAGTGTAAGTATCACTAAGAAAAAGCTTTGATATTTGTCTTTATAAAAATGTCTTATTTTGCAGTTGCAGTTTTTTGTTTCTTAGATCTCTTTTCTGAATTTAAAATAAACCTTACAGGTTTTTACCAGATTTTAAACATGTGGTCTGAGATTTTCTATTTCGATGATCTGCTGCTGGCTGTATTTTCGTATTACGTCTAAGTTGACCTAGTTTGGGATATTTCAGAAAGAAGATGATTAAAAAAACTTCTATTTCTGTTAGAAAAACTTTGTGTCTGTCTTGAGGAAATTTAAGCAGCTATGTGTTGGAGCAGAGACTAGAAATTCTGCATGGTAATGCTGCTGCAGTATTGTTTCGTGTTAGAAGCACACTTTCTGCAGTCTCCATTAAAAAAATCTGCCAGTTGCAAGAGAGAGGGAAAAGAACAAGTGAAACACTATGGACAAGGCCAGAGCTTCTTGTGAAGCTGTAGTTCAGCTGAGATGAGAGCTGTGGGGTGTAGGGCTGAAGAAGGTATTAGTTTATAGCAAGATTGTAAAAATAGGCGCTTGGAAAAAAAATGAATTTACAGAAGAGTCAGAAGAGTTTGTGCCAACTGGAGCTCATTTCATTTCAGATTCTGTAATGAAATCCAAGAACCTGCTCCTACCAGTTCTGCCTTTAAAGTGGCCTAGCTTATTTTGGCCCCATTAGTCATCATCTACACCAAGAATGAGAACTTTCTCCTGCTGACACTAATTTCCTTGGCTCCAGTAGCTCAGAATTTTAGTTGTAAAGTTTCTACTTCCAGTGATGAACAGAGTAAATTTTGCTTCATACAAACTGTCAGGAATTGCACTTTTGGTTGGTTCATTGTTGTTTTTTATTTCCTTTTTCTTTCTTTGTTTGTTTTGTATAGTCTACATATGTAACAGTCTGGCACTGGAAAGTAACTCGAGCAAGATTGCCTATGATATGTTTCATTAAAGAACAGGGTCTAGTGGGAGAGGAAACCTTTTCACAGTACAATTTTATATACCTAATTTATCCGAATTAATTAAGAAATTATTTAGATTTATTCTGAATTTAATTTATCCAATTCCTATTATATAATGTGTATTTGCCTTCAAGAATAATGATGACTTTACGGGTAATATTTTTTTCCAAGGTGAGGGGTTTTTTATGATTTAACGAGTACCTTCTTTTTTTCATGTGTTCTTTTCTTTTAGATGAAAATGTCAGTTGTCTTGAAATACCTCCAAGCCTTCGACTGGCGATGGATGTGGTTAACTATAGCTGCTTATATAGGCCAGAATGCACTGGGCATTGGACAAAATCTATGGCTTAGCACCTGGACTGCAGAGACAGCACGAGTTAGTGATTTCACAGAATGGAAACAATCACAAAACTATAAGCTTTGTATCTATGGGCTTCTGGGATTCATTCAAGGCAAGGCTGAGCATTTATGCCTCTTTTCTCACCGTTTACCAAGTTTGATCTGCCTGAATATGTGTCAGTAAAGAAATAATGCTGGTTGTTTCATGGCGTGCAACACAGTATAATAGTTAAACCTGGGGAGAGCAGGAGACATTACAGACGTGTAGAAGAAAGTGCTTTATAATTTTATGAGATTTCTGTGAATTCTTGGAGCATCCATATGTAATTAAGCTCTCTTGACATCTCATTGAGGTGGGGCTTCAGTGTGGATGTGAAGTGGTGTACTAGCAGAAGAGACAACTGCAGGAAAATCATACTTATGAAGTAGTAAGATGTGTGACCAAATTGCAAATATGTGCATTTGGAAAACTAAGAGAGGAAGCACAACTATGGGACTGCTTGCTGCGGTAGAAAACAGTGACAGGAACAATTTCCATCCCTTTTCCCAACCCAGCCATTCATACTGTCTTTCAATTTATCCATTCCCAAGGCCTGCTTGTTTGCTGTGGTGCTTACGTGCTCACCAGGGGATCCCTGTCTGCTTCCCGGGCATTGCATCGTCAGCTGCTGGACAATGTGCTGCACCTTCCCCTGCAGCGTTTTGAAACAAATCCAGTGGGTCAGATCATCAGCAGGTTCACAAAGGTAAAGGGAACACTCATGCAGAGTTTCCCATTTTATGGATATGAGGCTTGAGTGACTCAGTTTTAATTCTGTTTTAGCACTGTTAAAAGAAAGAAAAGTACTGCAGTATCCAGCAATAGGAAGCTGTTCCACTGCATAAAACTTAAAGAATTGTCTCAAGCTATTTTCTTACAGTCATCAAAACATGTTGGTACAAGTTGTGTAGACCCTATCCAAGATCATTAAGAGGTCATCAAAGACCATTCCTGCAGGTTTATTAGACCTAAATCTGATCTGGTTTTTTTAAGAAAGAAAACTGTATTTTTCTTCAATAATATATTGCATGTCAGAATCTAATGTTATTGTCAAAACGAGTTAATACATTAAATTCATGTTCTCAGAGGCATGTAGAAGTGAATGTTATTTTCTACTTTTGTACAGCTTTGGCTGTAGGTGGAACCTTTATTGCACAAACAAGTGTTGTTTATTACAACTTTTAATGCTTCCCACTCTCATCATAAGTAGATTGTTAACAATGCGTTAATAATTAAGTGACTGCTGATGATTGTGTTCTCTAGAATAATACCAAGAGTGGGTTGTGTAATACACTAAAAGATCAGTTAATGTAGGTTTCTCAAAGTTTTTAGTGGAATTTACTCACAAAATCTTAATTCTTCTGTGCATTGTTACAGGACTTATTTGTAGTGGACGTCTGTTTCCATTTCTACTTGAGAACTTGGCTGAACTGTACACTAGATGTTATAGGAACCATTCTGGTTATCACATCTGCCTCACCACTATTCATAGTGGTAGTTATTCCCCTGGGATACTTTCATTTTACTATCCAAGTAAGTGCATTGCTCTTCATAGGGATTTCTAGATGTGTGTGGATGAAATGTCTAAAACGATCAAGCATACAGGCTTAAATAATTTTTTATTGTGGAAAAACATATATATATACAAAACACATCTAAAATTGTTTTCAGAAAAAATCTTCAGGCTTATTGAAAGGAAATTTGAACACTTCCTGAATATGTAATTCCTGTAATACTTGGGAACTTTTAACAACTTATGACTATCTCTTCATACTTTACTTTTTTATGGGAAGATACAATATTGATAGAGATCCCAGCAAGAAATCTGCTGAAGCTACCTGAAGGAATGGGGTGTATATTATAGTGAAAGTTAAAAGTTGAAGGGTAACCCTGAAACAGCAGCTGTACATAGAATGATGCCTGTGCTGTTCTTTGTGCAGAGTTTCAGTTATGCTACTGAGAAGCCAAAAATTAATGTTTCAGAAACACTAATGGCTACATTCCTGTTTCTTAATACTTAGGGTATGGTCTGGGATTAGAGATGTTAAAGACTCTTAAAATAAGAATATAGAGGAAGGAAGAGAGTACCTGAATTCAGTGTCTGCTAAGGCGTTGAAATGTAGACACCGTGACATGGAAGAAATAAAGGCTGACTTTCATCTGAGAAAGAATTGGGACATTCTGTGTGGTACAGCACATTTTGTATAGAATTTGGAAATAATGTTCTTTTATTTTAACCTTGCCAGTAATTTATATATGGCAGTTATGTCAGCGTTGCAATGTTGGTGTGTCCCAAGAGACAGTTGGGTTTTATTTCTATATTGGTTTTGAATAGCTTTTTTTTTTTTTTTGTAGACACTTCCAACTTCTTTCATGTTCAAAATTTACAGGAATTCCTTATGAGAATACTTACCTGGCTACTGTCTGTACTGTTCCATTAGCGATACTACATCGCCAGCTCACGGCAAATTCGACGTCTGGCAGGGGCATCCCAGGCTCCAGTGATCTCCCACTTCAGTGAGACTCTTGTGGGGAGATCAACAATTCGAGCATTTGGCCACCAAGAGAGATTCATTAGAAAAAACTACGATGTTGTGTATGAGAACTTAGTTTGCTTCTACAACAACCTCATCTCAAACAGGTACTTTGCAGCAGTTCTTCATCTGTGATTGAACCTTCTTCTGCAACTCAGTGTTTACCTTTAGTAAGAGTAGAGCTACTGAGAAGCAAGGACAGGAGCAATTTGTCCACCACTCTTTGTAATGAATGCATAGTGTTTAAGCACTAGGATGATTTCTTCTCTATGTACCATAAAATATCGGGTTTATAGAAAATGTGCGTATGCTGTCTGGGATAAGAATATTTTAAAAAAGAAAACTAAAAAGACTGTGCTACATTTCAGCTAACAGTTCCTCTTGCAAGTTTATGAACAAATCAAAGTTGCATTTCAGGAGTTCATGTATCTGTATCATGTTCATGTAGTTCATGTATCATGTGTCTGTATCCACAGGCACCAGGTGGATGTTGAGAGTGGAATCTTGGGTTTAAGGAAACAAAGTCCATTTGCTCACCTTCCTTTGTGATTCAGTTCGGTTACAAGCAGAGATTAGCAAGATTTTCATGTCTGGTTTTCAGTGGTATACCTGAATCTTTTTCAGGCAGGGAGAGCAGGAAAGCAGTATGAGGAGTAAAGGGAGTGCTGGCCAGGAGTTGAGATGCAGGACTTTTAGTTTTAGTGGTGCTACTAGTTCTAGATATGTCATCTTCCCTCCCCAGTTCCTCTGTAAAATGGGAATGATGGTACCTATCTCTTTGGGGAAGTGGGTAAATTGCTATATAATGATCTCAGAGTCGTTATATTAGAAATATCTTCACTGTGCTATAAAAAATTTTGTAGGTAATTCTTTTTTTTCTTTGCCTTAATTTACTACAGGTGGCTATCTGTCAGGCTTGAGTTTTTGGGAAATTTGATGGTGTTCTTTGCTGCACTGTTTGTAGCACTGTCTGGAAATACAGTGAGTTCTTCTACAGTGGGTTTATCGATATCCTATGCTCTAAATGTAAGTAATAGAATAAACTTCTTGCTGTTACCACATTGCATATGAAAAGAGCAGTATACCTATAGTGAAGCTGAGTAGGTGAATATACACAGTGGCATCAACAACACTAAATCCCCTGGGCAAAACAGAGTTTCCCTTCGAATTGCATTGATTCTGGGAAGCTTCCCGTTGATTATTTTCCACTTCTGAATTTAGATGGAATAATAATTATTAAAACTCATTTTAAAAAGTAATTAATGAAACTCGGTATAGTGTATTTTTAAGTGTTTTGTTCAACCAGATAGGAAGCTTAGCAATGTACAATTATACTTCATATTTGATGTCTTCTTCGCTTACTGAATATATTTGTGGGAACATTTACTTAGAATTCTGTTCACTAAAGTCTTTTACTTTGGTATTGCCCTTGTAAAGGCAGTATGTGAGAACCACATTATAGGGTGTCTTGAAGTAAGATAAACTTTATTGATAAGTTGCTAGTTAAAATAAATCTGAAGCATGATGTAGACAGAAACTAAACATCCAATTTCCTTCAATTTTCTGATGCTAAGGAGCCTAGCATTGTCCAAATTCTCACTGTGGTAAGTGCTTCAGAAACGCAGCCGAAAAATACTAATGAATAGAAGTACAAATAAACCTGTAGAGTCTGTTATCTGTCATAGCTTATCCACATCGCAGCCAGCTCACAAGAGTCAAATTCCTACGTTCTCCAGTGTAACTGTTTCCCCAGGTAATTCAGATTCTGAATGTTTGGGTGCGTAGAGCATGTGAAATCGAGACCAACGCAGTTTCAATTGAAAGAATCTGTGAATATGCAACAATGGATAAAGAGGTGAGCATTCTTCTTGAAATGCTGAGCATTCAGCTTGAATACTTAATTTCTGTGCATAGAAAATGACTAATTCGACTGACTTTAATATTGGTGAGTGGTAATAGCAGGTAATTATTATTAAATGCTTTCTAGGTTTTGTGGTTGATTTTTTTTTTCATTGAAAATAAGTAGTTCTTCATCACATTTATAGTCATAGCAGTTTTATTCCTACTTTGACCAGTAATTTTTTTGTTATCATTCATAGGAGTAGATTTTGTAGTAGGACTGTATTTGTAGCTCAGGTGAACTCTCTGTGTTATGTGCAGCCAAGAGGAACATTTGAGGAGCAGGAGAGAGGAAGAGGGGCCTGTCTGACCTGTAACTGGTACTCACCTCCTGTCTGGGGAGACATTTGTTTCAAATCAATTTGCCTTGGCTGTTGTGCTTTTCTGAAAGTAGTGTCCATGTCAAGCATGAAGGCAAACAAGACTGTCCTCTACTTCATTCTCTTTTACTCTTCCCTCATGTTTATGTTTCTTTCTTCATATTTTTCTGTTTTCTCCTACTCCTGAAAACAAAATGTTTCTCATAGAATATGTATCTTAAAAATCTGGGAGATTAAGCATCAGATTCAATTCAGTTCCTGTCGGTTGATATCAGATACTAGACTATTAGCAGCTACTCAGTTAAATTGAATTTACTTTTTTAAATTAGTGTATAAGATGTTGTTAAACAACCCCACATGCTTCTTCACAGAGTTCGTGAAAATAGGTTCTCCTTCCATTATATTGCATTAGAATTACCCTAAACCTGCTGGGATTTTCCAATATATATTGTATTTTATCTTGGAACATTTTTACTATCATATACTGAAATACCAATGGTTTTAATTCCAGGAACCATGGATAATGTCTAAAAGACCACCAGTGGGATGGCCTGATAGAGGAATAATAGAGTTTGTTAACTACAAGGCTCATTACAGGAAGGATCTTGGTTTAGCCCTGAATGATGTCTCTTTTCAGACACAGAGTAAAGAGAAGGTACTGTATGTAATAAGAAATAAATCAGATGTATAAAATTCTGTTTCACAGCTTTGTACTTCAAAAATATTTCAGATAAGGAGTCTACAGTACTAGATGCTGAACCAGGAAGATGTTAGATGGAGAAGAGACTAAAGACAAGGCAAAAGAGAAAAGGAAAAATATTTTATAGGAATATGTAGAAATGATTATCCTTGTAAGAAACTGAGATTAAGTTTTGTGAATTTGGCAGTTTTAAGCAAGAAGATGCAAATTTGAATTTAAATTTCCTATCCATTTTGCTGAATGTTTATGCAGAGAAATACACTGCCAGGTTAGTGCTAATCAACTTTGGGCTTGGGATCAGGGAACACCAAACGAGACCCTAGTTTAGAGTTTTTGGTTTGAGCTGAGGAGTGCAGGAAAAAAGGGAGAGGAAATGAAAAGTATTCCCACTGAACCAGGCATAGGCTGTTACAGCTCAGAATCACAGAATCAGCTCCTGAGGGAGAACTGGATTGAGAGCTGTGAAACTGAATTCACTGTATCACTAATTCATTATAACTATATAATTTTTCATCTAGAATATGCAGCATAGAAAGTTACACTCTCTATCATAAAACTTTCTGTTTCAGGTTCGGAATTGTTGGAAGAACGGGAGCTGGTAAATCAACACTCACAAATTGCTTGTTTAGAGTTCTGGAGGGATGTGAAGGCAAAATAATTATCGATGGAATTGACATATCGACTATTGGACTCCATGACCTACGTGGAAATCTTAACATTATTCCACAGGTGAGATGTGTTCATACTGGTAAATTGATTTACACTGAAATGCTCTAGTATAAAGTAAAACCTAGAACACAAATTTAATAATCACCTGGAGACTTTTTGCACATTTCCTGAATGCCACTCATACAAACATTTTTGTGCATGGGTGATGTTAACATCACTTACATTGAATTTATCTGACATTTTTCAAAGAAAGGTTTTTGGGTTTTTTCCTAACTTTTTTTGAACTTTAACCCCAGTAATATTTCCTGTGTGTCTCTACTCATATTTAACTTAGAATCTCAGCCTTCTAATTTTACTTAACAGTGCCTATGAATGTAGTATCTAGTGCTTCACAAACTTAGCAATAGTAATAATTGATGTGTTGTGGCTGTCGCCACATGCTGGGCAGGTCTGTAGTCAGCCATAGAACCAGAGCACAGTAAATGCACAAGAAATCTCTTGCCCTTTACATTTCACCCTAAAAAAGAATTCATCTCACAGAGACACCACATTATTTTTGTGCTTCCATTCACTGGCCTCTGACTGTTAAAATTTCCAAGATTATTTGCCCCAGTTCCCTCTGTTATGTAAGAACTGTTTTAGGGTTGTGTTGGAATTGTTCACTCACATTCTGCTGTTATTTAGGACCCCATCTTGTTTTCTGGGACACTGCAGTCAAATTTGGATCCACTTGGAAAACACTCTGATCTTGAACTGTGGGAGGTGCTGGAACTGTGTGACTTAAAGGATTTTGTCCAGTCACTGCCAAAGAAGCTCCTTCATGAGATTTCAGAAGGTGGTGACAATCTCAGGTACATAATCAAGGAAGTGCCACTGCAGTTATTTTCTAGTACTGAAAATCTCTGTGTTCCTTCTAGAGGATTTATTTCAGAAAGTATCAGGATAAAAGTGTCACTTCTGTCACTCTAAGTAGAATTATTCTGATTGTGTGAGTTATTTTGAGGTGACCAACTGGTCACAACTGTATGAAGTCCTATGGTATATGGGCAAGCCAAGGAAGTAGACTATTTTCAGCTCAAATATATAAGGAAGTGTAAAGAAGGGGGGTGTGGTATTGGAATTCGTATAGCACCTAATTAGATTTGAGCAGAAAAGTAATCGTTAATTTAAATATAAAAAAAATTCAAACCAGGGAAAAAAACCAGCAAAATAAAAAAAACCAAACCAACAAACCCAAAAGCCACCAAACTCCAAAGAGCTTATTTCTTTGCTTTATTTGCATAGGCAAATAAACTCCATTTTTGCTTGTAAAACATTGTGCAAGGAGGGTGACACTTGAAATAAAAGAACACTAAACTCAAGGAGACACATACTGAAGTTTTCAGCAGCAAAGGGGCAGGTCTTCAATGCTGAGTGTACTGAATGTCAACCTGAATTTTTTTGACAGATCATTTGCTGGAGGATGGTTCTAGGAGGCACATACCACAGCTGACAGACAGGAGTATCCAAACTTTTACACTGAACATTATTAAAAAGTGGTTGGCAATTCAATCTGGCTTACTCAGAGTGCCCATTATAATGTGAATGTAGAAACTGAAGACAAGACTAGCTTTACACCACAAAGTTCAGCCACAGGTGTGGAAGAGTCCCACCTTAACTACTATTGATATGCTGATCAAGAGGAAATAAAACTTCCAAAACAAGGTGAACGTATTTCACTGTTCTTTTCAGGAAGTGTTGTTAGGAAAGACAATACAGATAGGCCTCATAGTAATCTCAGCTTTATCTTGTTCTCCCATTCCTCCATGTGCCTGACCTGCCCTTCTCAAATGTATTTTTGACAGCGTTGGGCAGAGACAGCTGGTCTGTCTGGCCCGTGCTTTGCTGCGAAAGACAAAGATCCTGGTCCTGGATGAGGCGACAGCTTCTGTTGACATGGAAACGGACAACTTTGTGCAGTCCACCATCAAAAGAGAGTTTCACAACTGCACAGTATTAACTATAGCCCACAGGTTACATACAGTCATGGATTCAGAGAGGTAAGTTTTGATAAGCCATTAGAAAAATGAATGGCTTCCTTGAACTGCACGAGTTTTCGCTTACTGAGGTTTACCCTCCCAACACTTCTGACCTTGATGTCTTTATACCTTTGTAATCCAAGATATCAAAAAAGACTTGAGCATCAATTTTTATTAAATATTGATAACCTGTGTTCTGCTTCCCCCTTCTACAGAATTAATTTATTAATTTTCCTGCTAAGGGACAGTTACAAGCTACTAGTAAGACCACTTAATTCTCTAGGGTGAATGGACTATACTGTATAGCATTTTTAGCAATTAAGCAAAAATACCCTTTTCAAAAGGTTTTTTTTAACATATTAGTTCCTACCTTTAGAATGACTGAACTAATGAATTAACCAATGCAATTATATTTCTTCTAAATAAGCCTTCCCATTATCCAGAGATATCTGTATTAGGACTGGAAAATACAGTTGAAGATCTGATTTTTCTTCTCCTGTTATTTTTCTATTTTTGCATTGTAGAGTGCTTGTTCTGGATGCAGGAAAGATTCTAGAATATGATACACCACAGAATTTGTTGCAACGAAAAGGTGCCTTTTCTGAAATGGTTGCAGAGGCTGGCATAAGAAGATAAAGAAAACTAGTGAATAAATTCTTAAGGAACACTCAAAGGATCTCTTGCATTCCACATATATAGATGCAATATTTTATATTTCTTATAAAATACCTTACTTAAGAGCTTACTCAAGTTCTCCTGGCAGCTTTGCTGTTTACTACAGCCACAATCTGTATATATTGATCAGATTTCTTAAAATAATTTCCAGATTTTATACAAATCACTTCTTTTGATCATACTGGCACTGGAACAGCATAATGAAGCAGCAATTTTCATGGCATATCATAGAATCATAGAATCAGCTGGGCTGGAAAGGACCTCTGAGATCATCAAGTCCAACCCTTGATCCAACCCTGCCGTGTTTACCAGACAATGGCACTAAATGCCACATCCAGGCTTATCTTAAAAACCTCCAGGGATGGAGAAGCCCATTCCAATGCCTGATTACCCTCTCTGTAAAGAACTTCTTCCTAATATCCAACCTAAACCTCCCCTGGAGCAGTTTAAGACCATGTCCTCTTGTCCTACTGCTGATTGCCTGGAAGAAGAGACCAACCCCCACCTGGCTACAACCTCCTGTCAGGTAGTTGTGGAGACTGATGAGATCACCCTTGAGCCTCCTCTTCTCCAGGCTAAACAACTCCAACCTTTCCTCACAGGACTTGTTGCTCGAGTCCCTTCACCAGCCTGGTTGCTCTTCTCTGGACCTGCTAGGTGTTTCCACCTGGATTATAGGAGGCTATTCAGCTTCTTATCCCTGTCTACAGGCTCCAGAAGCCAGTTGTCCTCAGGACAACCTGTCTTACTGTTGAAGACTGAGGTAAAGAAGATGTTAAATACCTCAGCCTTGTGCTCATCTTTGATAACTATGTTCCTGCCCATGTCCAATAAAGAATGGAGGGTTTTCTTGTCCCTCCTTTTGCTACTGATGTATCCATAGAAAGACTTTTTGTTATCCTTAACAGAGGTGGCAAGATTGAGTTCAAATTGTGCCTTCGTCTCTCTAATTTTCTTTCTACATGACCTAACTATATCCCTAAACTCTTCCTGAGTAGCCAGCCCTTTTTTCCATAATTCGTAAGCTCTCTTTTTTCCTCTAATTTCCTTCAAAATCTCCCTGTTCAGCCAGACCAGCCTGCTCCTGTGCATTCAAGACTTGCTTCTTGAAGCACATCCATCCCTCCCAGACCCCTTTGTTTTGAAGGGTATTTTCCCTTGAAAGGAAACTGCCCTCTGGAAGTCCAGTGTAGAGGTTTTATTGATGGCCCTCTCTGTATCCCTGAGTATTGCAAACTCTATTATTTCATGATCACTGTGCCCCAGGTGGCCTTTGAACACCACATCTCCCACCAGCCCCTCTCTGTTTGTGAGCAGAAGGTCCAGCGGGGCCCCATCTCTGGTAGGCTCATTTACCAGCTGGAGCAGGAAATTATCCTCTATACACTGCAGGAATCTCCTAGACTGCCTCTTCTCTGCTGTGTGGGGTTCCCAGCAGACATCCAGCAGGTTAAAGGCACCCACGAGAACAAGAGCTGGCAATTTTGAGACATCTGCCAGCTGCTTGTAGAATAATTCATCACCCTCATCATCCTGGTTGGGTGGTCTGTAACAGACTCCCACCAGGATATCAGCCTTGTTGGTCTTTTCCCTGATTCTGATCCACAGGCACTCAACCTTATCATTACTGACTTCAAGTTCTACAGAGTCAAGAGACTCTCTAACACATAGAGCCACCCCTCCACCTCTCCTAGCCTGCCTGTCCCTTCTGAAGAGCTTGTAGCCACCCATGGCAGAACTCCAGTCATGGGAGCCATCCCACCACGTTTCTGTGATGCTCACTACATCATAGCTTTCCTGCTGCATGCCAAGAAGTGCCACGTTACAAAAAGTGCCATGTCAAAAAAGAGCCACGACACACAAGTGCAACGCCAGGAAGTGCCAAGCCATGAAGTGCCACTTTAAAATGGGCCACGTCACAAAAAGTGCCACATCAAGAAGTGCCACGCCAAGAAAAGTGCCATGCCAAGAAAGTGCCACGTTTTAAGGTGCCACATCAAAAAAGTGCCACACCCAGAAGTGCCACATCCTGCACTCCGGGTTGCTGGCGCTCCTTACAGACGTTTAAATCCCTCATGGATGGGCTGGGCTCCGCCCCCTAGTCATCTCCCAGGACACCTCCAGCCAGTGTGTTAACTGTTGCACTAGAAAAGACTGATTGAAAAATAAATCTTGCTGTTCACAGGTTGGGTCTTAATTAAAAAATAGTACTTAATTAAGCTGCTCTGACATTATGCTCGTTTAGTTAATACATTCTTATTATGATTGTGCATTCAGGAAAAACAAAACTGCTTGTTGTGTGGACATACAGACATGTCACTTGGGGGTGATTTTTAAGATGTGCATATTTACATGTATACCTAGGTAGTTCTTGAGGGAATAAATGTGCCTTTTGACCTCATGATTTCTGAATAACTGAAAACCATACATCTTATGTATCTAATTGTGCATTACAAAATCCAATTGTGAAGGAATCCCAGAAAAATGGTCAGGTGCAGCTGCCTCTTTGCTATTAAATTTTAAAGTAAACCTCAATACTAATTACAGCAGCAGGACGGGTTATGTACATTTACTGAAAGTGCCAGTTAAATGTGCCTGTGCTTTTTACTACAGTTCCTGAGGCTCTTCCAGTTTAATACCAACTCAACGAGTGTAATCAATCTTCACTTAGTTTTTTAAGATAATATCCCCATCAACTGTTTTAAAAAAAAAACAAGGTACCTTAATAAAGTTCCAGGCTACAGCCCTGTTATATTAGTTTAATATTGACACCTGGTTTATATCAAGGATGATCTTAATTTCTTGCCCAATAGCAAGCAAAACGTATTTTCTGTTTTAGAAGGGTAGTGGAGACTCTTTGAAGAGAGTTCCTCAAAGATGTGATTCTACTGCAGTGAAGGTGAATGATTTCTCTTGTCTTTCCTGAGGGTAAAAACTCAAGCCTATCCTCATACATTGCAAAATACTGTCCAGTTTAACTGGCTGCAAACACAACCCAACATACTGTCACTCCAAGAAAACTATTAGAAGCATATAATGGTTTTAGACTAGGAACAGCCCAGCCCAAGTACCTGTTATGTTCTGAAAGTCCTGGAGAGACGGGTGTTAGAAAATATTTCTCAAGAAACAGAAAAGTGTTCTGCTTTTCATCTCTTTTGCTCTTTTTTCTCCCAAACGAGACCACCAGTACCTTCCCAACTGAGCAGAACGTTTTCATGCCCACATTTACCTTCACTGCAACATTCACAGTGCCCCAGGCAGGCTCTGCTTCCCCCAACTTTGTCCCCATCCCTTTTCTGCCTTTTCATGCTGCCTCTCCAAACTTATCCTTACCTGAAGTACTGCAGAGGTCCTGGAAAGGACTGAAGTGAGTGCCATTCCATAAGTGATAATAAGTTTTAGGCATAAGGCTAGGAGAGGTAGACTTTAGTACGTCAGAGACCAATCCCTTTTGCAAGGTCCAGAGAAAATAATCTGAGGACTAACATCAGTGCATGGTGATCTTTATTTAGTGTTATTTGTGGGAAGAAGGGTTTTCTGTGCTAACTTCCGGTGCTGACATAGCCTTTGGGCTTCAGACTACCTTCAGACCACAGCTGGGAGAGCTGCAGACTGAACAATTTCAAAGTCTGAGTGAAAAGAAAAGGCTGTCCTAATGTCAGCAAAGCCAAATAGACATTCCTTCTCTTTCAGCAAGCTGTACCCCTCATATTTAACTATAACTTCGAAAAAGGAGGTGCAGTGGAGGCAGAACCATCATGATATGCTCCTGCTGTTTCCATGCAGCAATGGCTTCCCAAAATAAACCACCTAACAGACTTAGGGCAGGCAGGGAAAGGCAGTTTTGCATCAAGCACATCACACGGGGTTTGCAGCCGCTCCTCACCTCACACACCCGGTGTCAGAGGCACTCTAAGGAACAGAGACCACTTGGCTGAGTTCAGTATTAACTCAGGTTTTGTAGTACCCAACCCACCAAAACACCAGACAACTCCCTTGCCAGCACAAAGCCACATAGCCCTGCAGGCGAGCTCAGTGCACACCTCGCCCCTTCTGCCCTTTTTCCTCCAAACAGGAATTCCCCTAACCCTCCAGGGTATTTAGGGGTCAGGTCCCAGTCTTGTCCTGAGGGACCAGTCACCATTTCAGAAAGGTTCTGCCTCGCAGGGCCACCACCTGCTCAGAGTCCTGAGAAGGTGCTTGGGCCTGTTGTGCCTGGGCAGGTGACCTTCACTTGGTTGGAGATCCTGTGAGGGACCCAACTGTTCATCCCTCTGAGGAGCTCTCTTGGACTCCTTTTCCAGCCAGGTAGCTTGGGATAGGGAAAGGAAGGGTGGGATAGCCAAGGGAACCAGAGCAGGTCTGTGAGAAGTGAGAGTGAGGCTCAGAAGGGCACCACAACTCCAGTTCTCCTTTTCACAGGCAGGAGCATGGAGGAGAACCTGATTATGCTTTGCTTCAACTCCCTTCCCCCTATCATTCAGAAATCCTACCATTTCCTCAGGTGCCGCTTCCCTCAGCCCTGCTTGTTGCCCTTACTCTACGCTTTCCTGGCAGTACTACAGGAGAAACTGGAAGGAAGTTGAGGGGAAACCCCTCGTTTACCTCATAGGAATAGACAAATATCTGCTTTTTTGCCAGTTTTGAAGCTTTCATTTACTGAACACTATGATTGCTCAGGCTCTCCAGACCTTACATTTCCTAAGATGACAGAGATGTAGAAACCCTCTCAGAGCTGAAACAACTTCATCCTCTACCCTTCAGAGGAATTTGAAGACAGGGAATTAAATTGAGAAAGTGAAAGAAGACATGTCCAAGGGATAGAAATTGCTTTTATTAAAAACATTCTAAAATGTTATTTGTAAAATGCATTTCATCATCTGCACTGGGAAATGATTCAGGAACATAAAACTGTTGAGGCCTCTTAATACTTTCCGAATTTCAACTCACAAAACAGGCTTAAGCTAGAGAAACTTCTTACACATCTAACACCACAGACAACCGTAGATTTAAAGGATTTTAGAAAGATTTCAGCCTTCAAATATCGATTTCTTTAAAGAAAGACTTTTGGTAAGCAGCCCATGTGCATACCTGGGAATATCCACTAGTAGTACAGCGGATTCATCTTTAAAATTCAATGGTTTTGCCAAAATACAGTATTAAAAGACACAAAATAAATAATTTGCAGAATTCAGAAAAGTTATTTAATAAATAAGGATGCATTGTGAGATATCCAATGTACAGTAACTTCTCTAATAAGAAATCCAACCTGTATAGAAATCTGAATAAATACCCTTTTGTGAATTTTTTTTTACATGTAAACAACTCACCCTTCCCTTCCAATTCCCAGATTAACACTGAAGGAGATTTAACTCCTCCAGAGTGAAGGAGTATGTGAAACAAAAAAAGAACATTTATTTGCCTCAAGAGTTTATCAGTTTAAAGTCACTCCCACACTCCTTGGGACTTGTCCCAAAACTGCAAAGAGCTTTTAATCATTTAACTTACTGTGATGTGGTTCTGGTTTTACACAGCTCTGCTTGTTTTACACAGTCCATTAATGACATGAAGAACTAAAGCCCTACTGTAACTCCAGTAGGTTTTGAGATGAATTCCCAGCAGGACAGAAGGAAAGGTCACAATGATTCCAAAGCCATTGGAATGTATGTTGAACACACACATTTATATCTGCAAAGCAAAGGCACCAAACAGCAGCTGAGGACTGTACTGATTCGCATTAATCCATGGTTTCCCTGGAGAGGCACTTCTTTCACTGCAGGAGTTTTAGCTACTGGAAGTTCCATATGGACTTCAGTGGGGTCACTTTCAGAGAGGCACAAAGGGAAAAAGAGTCCTCAAATTAAAAAAAAAAATATCACTTTGGCCTTCAACTCAGGGAAATGAAACAGATGTTAGCAGTATTCCTGGAATCCTCTGTCAAGTGAAACAATGTTGATGGAATGCTGTGTGCAGCTATGATTCAATTTAAGAGGTTTTTAATTGGATTACTTCAAAGATTAGACAATAGCTACGCAAACTGCTGAGTCAGCACAACTGATTTATGGCCCTGCCATAAATCAGGTCTGCTGCCAAGAGAGTAATAAGCCTATTTTAATATAGTCATAGGTTAAAACAATAAATCTAAGCCCCACATTAATTTTTGGCAAGGTTTAATACAAACAACATTATTCTGGAGAAGACAAGAAAATGCTTAGAACCACCTGTTACTAGAACTTACCTGGGCTGATGGGTGTTGGAGCCAGTCTTGGCTGAATGACATGTTTTTATCATACAAACTTCTACACAGATAAAAGAATTCAACTGGCCTTTAAGTATTGCTTTACTCCTCCAAAGAGGGTAGAACTGTCACCAATTAGGGTTTGTTCTCAGATCAGTAATTTTTTTCTCCTCATGCATTTTCAAGATAGCTGGATAGCAAACTATTTGCCTAAAACAGAGTCCTAAGAAGTGCCACCTCAAATCCCAAGGCACACACACAGTTTTCCTCCCAATAGGACAGCTACAACCTCTGTTCAGTTTAGAATGAGGACATGAAAAACTTAATCCAGAGATATGAACTAAAAAGTATGAAGGAGTTGGGTCCATTTTCATTTACAAGGATTACAGGAACGAGACTTCATCCAGGCCATCCCTTCTGTTCCACACTTCCTCCCTGAGGACAGTATGGCTTGGGGTCCTTCAGGGGAAAGACATCACACAGTTGCAGATGAACAACAGTGAAATTTGCGTTGGTCGAATTCAAGGGCAGACACACAAGTGTGGCTTTAAGACACATAAAATTACTGCAGTTTTCAACCAAGGCAGAGGAGAACATCACTGTGGAGAACATCAGTGGTAGAACAGCAGCACCTGTGTGCTAACCATCACAGCCAGATCAGGAATTAAGCCCTTGGAGACACATCAAGTGACTATGTTGGCAAGAGCAACGTTTTCAGTAAGGTTTCCCGAAACATGAGACAATTCTCCACAGAGCCTCAGCAATACCATTATGCTGTTATGAACAGCAGAAGAATCAAGTGAATGCCTAAGTCTCATTCAAGCTGCAAAATGCCTTTTAGAAAGGTGCTTAAATGCTCAAATGGCTCGATCTAATAAATAAATGTAAGCTGAGCACTGCCAGTGCTCTGTGCGTTAACACTGCTTCACAGTTAAAGTAAATATACTGGACCTGGGCATACCTACAGTACCACCTTATCTCAAACCTTTGGTCACACTCCCTTTATATTTTAAACACACACCGCTCCAGGATTTGCTAATAAAATTTAGCAAGCAAATGTGGGTGTGTCATCACTAGCATTTTCATCCAATCTCCAAGGAAATACAGTACACTTCTGAACTCGTTTGTACCTTTAAAGTAATATCAAGCTTTGACACAGGTAGGTGTCCAGTAACACCTCACTGGAACAGATAAAAATGGAATAGAATACAGCTAAGATTAGGCTCCACTGCCAGTCAGATGAGTATGCACCTTCAGAGCACACTTTTGTAGAGCTGGAATGCAACTGGGAAGAGTTTCTTTTCAGTTAAAATTAGTCTTCCGTAAATTCTTATTAGGGATTTCTATGGCGCTGACTTGAAGAGGCCAGGACCCTGCAACAATTCCTGCTTGGATGGCCACGCCCGTCACAACTGCCAGGTCAGGATCTACAGAGGTGTTGGGTTCCTTTCCAAAGAAGTCCCGAATAACTTTACGTATTTGGGGAATCCGTGTGGAGCCACCGACTAACACAATTTCATCCACTTCTTCTTTGTGTACGTGGCCATCCTGCAACACTTGTTCAATGGGCACAAGAATCTTCTCGAAAAGGTCTTCATTTAACGTCTCAAACAGCTTCCGAGAGATTTCCATTTCAAACACCACTTCAACAAAGCCGTTCTCTACTTCCGAAGTGTCTCCAAGACTGTTCAGGTCTCTTGTTTTTTCAGAAGGCTCGCCTCTTAGTGCACTGTTTGTTTTCACCTGACTTTTTGGAAGTGCTTTGGTAAGCCTGTTTTCTGGCAGAGTCAGCACCACACTTAGTGTAGCTGCCTCGTGAACAGTCAGATTTAATTTCACTGCTTCCACAGCCTGTCTGAGGCGGTGGATCTCTTCCTTCCGGGTTGGCAGAGAACCGTATGTTTGATGGAGATGATCATACAAATACTGCATCAACCTCTGATTGAAATCCTGTCCTCCAAGTTTGTTGTTACCTGAAAGAGCAGAACAGAAGGCATCAGACACATCACTTTCAAAGCAGCATGCATCTTCTTTACTGGGAGGTGGTGCTCAAGGACCAGAACAATCACACAAGCACAAGAGCTCATAGAGCTGTGAAAACACACAAAATTGTTGTCCCCTGAAGAACAAATGATGCTTAATAATTTTCACTGTTTTGTTTTGACTGAGAACAAGAATTCACTTAGTGGACCTCTGTCTAAATAAATCAGAATGAAGCTGCTGAATCTTTCTTGCTGTTCCACTCTTACTGGACCAAGCAGCAGCAGCTCACATCAAAACCTGCTCATCAAGGGCAAGGCAGACAGTTGGCACTGCACCTCAGCCCTGTCTGCACCCAGGTCATCTGAAAGGCAGTTGTGTACTCACTACAGTCTGACTAAATGTTGCTGCCACTTGCCTCTGTGCTGAGTGATGAATCATCCTGGCACACAGGAATCACAAAACCTGCTTCAGGGCATGCGCATTCCCAAAACCTGCTCTACTGAGCTGGCACCAAACACAAGGCCAGGATGCTCCTCAGCCCCGGTCAACGATTTGTCAAGTATTCCCAGTTTGGACAAAGGTAACAGAAAGATTTGTAATAACTCCAGCCCTGCAAAATCCCGGTCAAAGTAACTGTAATATGCACCAGCACTTTACCTGTGGGCAAAAAAGTTGACAGCCATGGATAAAATGAAACCACAACTTACCCCTTGAGTTAGCCCAAACCTGTGACTTTGTAATCTTGCTGAAACCAGTCACAAACCTAATTCTGCATGAAAAGCAGCAGAGAATGCATTGGGAGAACATTTTGTGACACAGCTGGTAGGTTTTAGAAAGCTCCTCCAATGGCAACTTCATGTGCACCTTTCCTCCCACTCCTTCAGAAACAAAAGCACTTTTCTTACCTGCCATGGCTCGTGTGTAGAACATCCCTCCCATCTTGTTCAACAGAGACACATCCAAAGTTCCTCCACCCAAATCCACCACCAGAACATTAAAGACATCAACTTTGTGGAGTCCGTAAGCCATAGCTGCAGCTGTGGGCTCATTGATTACTCGCAAAACCCTCAGCCCTGCAAAGAGCAGAAACAAGAAGCAACAGTCAGGTACCCTTCAGGAAACTGCAGTTCTCACATCAGAATTACATTTGCCATTACTTTTTGTTTTGTTTTTTTTTTTTTTAATCAGATTCATTTTAAGCAATATGTCAGATCTAAGGGAAGTAGTTTTCTGAGCAGTAATACCCAATGAACTCTTTTCCTTATTTAATCCTAAAGTAGTACTGCTTCAGCATCAGGGCAAAGTCATGAACCACCATTTGCCCAAACGCATTTCTTCCAGACAAATCTTACTAAGGAGCCTTAACTTTATACATTCTGTTTCTGTTATTGTCCAGGGGTGCTCTGTATAGTCTCCCTATTTGGAGATTACCAAAAACTCTATTTTCCCCAAAGTAAAACTTCCTTCTTCCAGCCACCTGTGTCTGCGTTATCCAGCTGCACCTGTTGGGACTCAAGAGTTCTCTGCTGTTCCTCACACTGGATCCATTCTAAGCTTCTCTATCACTGATTCACTGTTTCTAAATCCTCCCCAAAGACCTTGCTGTTAGTGAAAGAGACCTGAAGGTTTCCTAGAAAAACACTGGAATACATCACCTGCGAGGTTAGCTGCCTTAATGGTAGCATTCCGTTGCCTTTCATCAAACTCTGCTGGCACGGACATGACTGCCTTGGAAATGGGCATGCCAAGGTTGGCTTCTGCCATTCTCTTCAGTTTCAGCAGCAGCTGGGAGCCAATCTGCTCTGGAGTGACGTGAAAAGTCCCATTAACTGTCACAGAAAATTCAGCTGATCCGTTGTTGTTGAAAATCTAGAAGGATAAAGCAACGCAAGCCACAAGTGAGAATTCGTTTTTCCCACCCTGCTCCCACCACGTTTTATTTGCCTACAGTGTCTTTAATCTTTAAAAATATAAATGTGCTTTTGCCACTTCATAGATCACATTAACTCCTTGACCTGGAGAATTATACAAAGCATGCCACTTAAGGGGTCCAAGTATAACCAAACAAGTATCCCACTGAACCCCAGTAAGACACATCAAAAGAAATTAAGACCCAGCAACTGTGTAATCCATTTCAACACCACAAAGACAGAAGTGGTGCTTTTTAATCATTAGGTTACCCTACTGATAAAGCTTCCCACCACTTCTTCTTTCTGAAAGGAAGCAAACAGCTTGGTACTGGAACAGCTTCTCTTAACAAGTAAAGAATTCAAAAACTATTTGTAGTACCTGAAAATTGGTCTGTTTTCAGCAAATTTTGCATCGTGTTCAATTAATGCAATACTTTTTTTTAGTAAAAAGTAGCTTTCAAGACCTGCTGCTGGTCCAGTAAGCACTAGAAAAGTGCTAGAGGAAAAAAATGCACTGTAGCAGAGATTTGACTTCTAAACTTTTTTTTTAATCTTTTTTTAGAATTTCAGGGGAGAAGTGAAGTTTCAGCAAAGTAGAGTTAGCATTTCAAGTTGAAATTTATCCTTCCAGAGACAGGGCTGGAAGGTTACCCAGACACACATTTCCTGGTAGGAAAAACAGGGTTTTGTGGAAAACCACTGTCAGCTCTTGTGCAGAGGTACATGACTTCCACAACCATTTCCTTCCCCTCTCTAGGTATCTCTCACAGTTCTCAGGTAGATTTAGCCAAACGGCTCAAGGTCTGACAAATTGATCACCCGTACAAATTTCAAGTGTCACAGAATCACAGAATGGCCTGGGCTGGAAGAGACCATCTTTATGGGCAGGGACACCTCCACTAGACCAGAGTGCTCAGAGCTCCATCCGACCTGGCCCTGAACACTTCCAGGGATGGGGCAGCCACAGCTTCTCTGGGCAACCTGTGCCAGTGCCTCACCACCCTCACAGCAAAGAATTTCTTCCTGATATCTCATCTAAACCTGCTCTTTTCCATTTTGAAACCATTCCCCCTTGTCCTGTCATTACAGGCCCTTGTAAATAGTCTCTCTCCATCTTCCTTGTGGGTTCCCTTCGGGTACTGGAAGACCACAGTTTGGTCACCCCAGAGCCTTCTCTTTCCCAGGATGAACAACCCCAAATCTCTCAGCCTTTCCTCATAGGAGAGGTGCTCCATCCCTCTGATCACCTTGGTGTCCTCCTCTGGACTCGCTCCAACAGGTCCATGTCCTTCCTGTGCTGGGACCCCAGAGCTGGAGGCAGCACTGCAGGTGGGGTCTCACCAGAGCAGAGCAGAGGGGCAGAATCCCCTCCCTCCCCTGCTGCCCACACTGCTTTGGATGCAGCCCAGAACACGGGGGGTTTCTGGGCTCCCAGTGCACATGGCTGGGTCATGGCCAGCCTCTCACCCAAGTCCTTCTCAGCAGGACTGTTCATCCCCTAGCCTGGGCTGTGTCCTACAGCTTCCTGCCTGGAGGGAACCAAAGACGTTGGCTGCTCACCTTGAAGGGATACCTGCTGCTTTCACTTTTCAGTTCTTCCAAAGTGAAGATTTTCCCAATGAATCTCTTGGCATCATATATGGTGTTCTGAGGGTTGGCATCAGCCAGTTCCAGGGCATCATATCCCACAGACACCCCTCTGTCTGTGAAGGAGACCACACTTGGGATGCTGTTGTGCCCATTCTCGTCTGCAATGACCTTCACCTCCCCTATTCCGGGCAGGAAGACGCCAACAGAGCAGTAGGTGGTGCCGAGGTCGATCCCAAGGACTCTGGGGGTGGGCATGGGCAGGTACTGCTGTGCCAGGTAGCTGGCCAACAGGAGAGCCAGAACAGCAGAGCCTGAAACACAGAGTAGTGAGAAACAGGATTACAAGACCTACAGCTCCAAAACCTGTCAGTCAGTGCAAATGACACAGCGTCACACTCTGCACCTCCTGCAGTTCTGTTTCACACACTGGATGGAGCCTGTTCAGCACCCCAATTAGTTTTTAATTTCTTCCAAGGTCACCGGCTAATTCAGGTCTCTTAATTCAACAGAGAGTGGCTGCCAAAAATCTCAGTCATTAAATACTAAACTGATTTTTTTTAAAAAAGAAAGCCCAAGAGAGACAGCAAACCCAAAAATATCAACACACTGTAACGATTCCTTTTCTCTCTGCAGGTTACTCCAGTAACACAGGCTAATTTGTACTTCAAGGGGAGTGCCTACGAATGACCCCAAAAGGACACAGAGTTAATGGGGCTGCACCAAATCCCAGTGAAACAACAAACTTCCAATTCAAACACCTCCTCCAGCTTCACTGAAGTCTGAAAATAAGGAGAAACAAATCCATGCTGACTCATCCTGTTTCAACCAGACCTCCCAAAGAGCATCCTTTCTATGCCTTGAAATCAAGGCTTAAACTCATTCAAGTGCAGAGTAGTTTGCTGTTTGATTGCTTTTGCCTTTAATTTTACTTACAGTCGTCAGGCACAACAGGAAACCCGAAAGTCAAGCAGAAAGTAATGCCTCAGGGGAGGGGAAAAACAAAAAGCACCAACGAAGTTTGGAGAAGAAATTTAAATAGGTTAAATTCCAAAGCATGGCCGAGCTCTTTTTTCCTAGCAGGGAAGGTCTGTCACAGCTGTGCTTCAAACAGACCCGTCAGAAAGCCCTGGTTTGGTCTGGGCTGTGAATTTCTGAGCCAGGCACCACCGAGCACTTTGGCTTTCACAGAATTTCCAAACGGGTCACGCTGGAAGGGACTACAGTGGGTCACCCGGTCCAAGCTCCCTGCTCGGCAGGGTCATCCCAGAGCACACGGTGATGTGTTCCAGAGCTCGGGTGGACCTTCCCGTGCATCAGTTTCTCCCGCTGTCTCTTGTCCTATGGCTCGGCACCACCGGGCAGAGCCCGGTCCATGCCCTGACACCTCCCTGCAGACCTTGGTGAGTTCCCCTCCCAGTCGTCTCTTGTCCAGGCTGAACAGAGACAGCTCCCTCAGCCTTTCCTCCAGTCCCTTAATCACCTTCGTCCCCTCCAGGACCTGGACTCCCTCCAGGAGCTCCGCGCCCCTCCCGTACCGAGGAGCCCAGAACTAGGCGCAACTGAACGCACCGAGCACGGCAAGCCCGCACCGCCCTGGAGAGGCAGCCCGGGGCGATACCGCGGGCAGAGAGACGCGAGAGCCCCATCGAATCCCCCACGAACCCCCCAAAGGCGTCCCCGCCTCACCCAGCACCGCCATCTGCCCCGCCATGGCTGCCCGCGGCCGCTGACGGCTGCTTCCGGGACGCGCGGGGCCTGCCGGGAACGGTAGTACGCACGCACCCGCCCGCCCTTCTCACGCCGCTCTACTGCGGGGAGAGCGAACCACAGCTCCCAGCGCGCACCGCGGCGCCGCCGGTTCCGGCGGGTACCGGCCAATAGGCGCCACCCATTAGCAGGGGGAGGGCGGGCGGCGGCGGGGTCGCACATGCGCATCTCCGGCGGGGCTCTGGCGGGGCTGCTGGGAGCGGTAGTTCCGCGCCGCCGCCGCCATGTTGCCCTGGCGCCCTCCCGCCGGCGAGCGGCGGCAGAGACCGCGGGTGTGGCGCTGCCGAGTGAACACGGCAACCCGTTAATAAACGCGGCAACCCGCTAATAAACACGGCTAAAACAGGCGTTGTTGTTTTCCCGACTGAAAGGGGGGGGGGATTTGTTCATACCCTTTGTGTGTGATCAGTCTGTGCCTGACCTGTCCGTCCCACCCCGTCAGGGGCACCCTTCACTGGATCGGCGGCGCTTCCACTGAACCAGCCAGGGTCACACACCAAACAGAGAGCCCACCCGGGTCTCCACACCTTTACCCACTGCCAGCACCCCTAAAGGATTCACATTAACATCTTATGCGATAAGTCTGTTTATTAACGTGGTTGTGACAGGTTAAGGTTCGGGCATTGCTGGTGACAGGATCTGACCACAAAAAACATACTCAAGGCAATATACTAATTCAAGGCAATATACAGACAAGTTCTAATCCCTAAAAATTAGCTTGAGATAACCATTCAGCACACACAGAGCACAGTTCCTACCCAATAGGTGTCCCTGTAAGGGAGAAGAGAGGCTCAGCTCGTCGACTGATCCCAGAAGGTGTGATGGAGTCTTCCCTAAATTCTTCCCATTCTTAACTTACTTTTATACTATTTCTTTACATTTGGGTGGAGGTTGAGTGACTTTAGCCGTGCATTCTCAGTCAGAAATGATTGTACGTTGGGGATGGATATCTCAGTATAGGACCCTTGGGAGGGGGACATGTGTCAGTCTAAGGAGAGGGATTTTGCCATGGTTGCTCAACTCAACAGCAGGACATCTTCCTTTATTTCCCTTGGTTTTCAGCTGCTGTGCAGCTTATCAGCTAGAAAGTTCCCTCCTCTGCACGGGTTTCGACAGAGCCTGGCCGCGGTGTCTCCACTCTGCTCCACCCTGCAATTATTCCCCCTTGGACTGTACTGTGTGTGGGAGGTCGGGTGTGCTGACGGAGCTCCAGCCAGGGAGTAGCAAACATATTTTCCCTTATGGTTTCCAAACCATTATCTTTTTGGCCCCAGCCATCCTCCCACACTGACATTCCTATTTCAGAGCTGAGGCCAGGTGAGCATCTGCCGTGCCCATTCAGGGCAGTCACCGGGCTCAGCTGCCGCACACAGGGGGTGATGTGGAAAAGCTCCGGGTGCTGTGTTGGTGGACAAGGAAACCCCTGCTCAGGGACCTGACCTTTACTCCCAGGGCCTGTCCCGGGACCCGGGAAGGGCTTTTAATCCAACATGTAAAGCAGTGGCAGAGCACTTGTGTTTCATCTGTTGCTGTTCCCAATGTAGGGACTCTCTAAATGAGGACAAGAGTCAGGTTTAGAAAGGAGACATTGTTCACTCTGTATAGTGGTCAAGGTGGAGGTTTTCCACATATCAAGCACACTGATTCTCAAAACTTTATATATATATATACATTTTAGCAAACAAAGACATCACAGGTCATTGGCTTCAAGTTACCTAGTTCTCTTAATAATTAGTATTCTACCTCCTATTGGTTAAATTATTCTCTTATTTCCTATGCTAATTAGTCCACAGGCAATGGTTCAACAGTGAGACAGCCATGGCAGTTTTTATCTCTTTGTGTCAATGGTGAGGGAAGATTTCCTTCTTGCCCACCTGACATTTAGACACATAAGGAGAATGCAGGTGCAACCTGCTCCTCAAATGCCTCCTGGAGGAGCAAAAGTGGTAATCGCTCCAAGAAATACAATGTCAAGTACAATGTAGGTTTTCTTCTTGTCAGCTGCCTCTCTCCTATGCTCTACTCTCATAAGCAGCAAAGGATTTTCAGGCTGTTCTGTATCAGGTTTCTGTTTCAGGCAGATATTAATTTAATGTAGTTTAATATACATGCTTTTTATTAGAAAATATTGGTAAATGAATAGCTGTTAGCAGATAGTATAGTGGGAGAAAAGTTAGAGTAAGTTCCATTGCAGTTGCCATCTTTACCACCTCTGTTTCTCCTAAGTGATGGAAAGACACATAACCCAAAAGTAATTCCCAGGAGCTTACTTCTTAAAAGCTTCTTCTATATGCAAAAAAGTGGCACCACTTTAACTTAACAGGGTAAAAGGTATGCATCCTCCACTTACGGTTAACGCAGTTATACTGATGTTATGCTTCATTCTCAGCATGAGAAGGTGGAAACTCTGTGGTAAGGGAAGAGGAGGTTAAGCCATTCTGCCTCCTTAATGACTCATGATCTGACTGTTCTCTAATTACATAGGTAACTAATTTCTATTCCATAAGTAAGAGGTGCATACTATAATCATGTTTCTTGAAGTTGGGACCATTGTAATTATGCTCATTCTCAAGCGTAAACTTGTAAACATTGTTTACAGTATTTATTGACTCATATAACTCATGAGCAGGCACTTTGTGTTTCGTGCAACTCTCTGTGGTGATCAGAAAAAAAGTTTAGTATAAACAGGGCATACAATCAAACTGGATTTTGTTCATAATTTTGATATTTAACAGCAAGCTTTTTTAATACATAGGGGCCATCTGAAATATCATGTGGCAGAGTGCAGATAGGTAGGGATGTTTTTTAAAAAATACTAATACAAAGCCTCATTTCAGAGATTTTTTTCCTTTTCTAAAGCTTAGGCTAGGCTTTGGGTTCTGTCCTTGAGGATAAACCTCTGAAAGACATCAGGATCACTTGATCCTAACTGAAGGACAGAACTCAAATGCCCTCTCCTATATAGTTTCCATTCTGTTTCTCCAAAGGAAAGCTGCTTAATGAATTCAGCGTATCAGTCAAGGCCTCCCCACCTGACTGACTCCCTGGAGGCCTCTGGCTGTTCCCTCCAGGATTACACAGCATGGGCCACCTGCCTGGGAGTCAAATCAAGGAGAGCATCTCAGCAGGCTTTCTGCCCTGCAGCAGAAACTTCTTCAGAAGCCACTGACTTCCCTGCACATCTGTTTTGGGCTTTAAAGTAGTTTGAAGGCTCAGTCCAGGATGCATAGTCTGTAGTCCCTTGAAGACAACATTTGGTCTTCAGTACCTAAGTTTATATGAATTCCAGAAGTGCCTAATTTTTTTTTTCCTCCACATCTTCTCCACGACCTGTTAGGACCTGCTCATGGATGCTCCTGGACTCTGCACAGAGATGTCAGACTTCTCTTGCATCTGCACAGTTGGCAGAACTAATCCTAGTGAGCTTGTCCTTGTGTTCTTGGGCATTACCACAGTGTCTTCTGCATCAGCTTCTTTTACCCACCCTCACAGAGCTTTCATTCATGAGAGTGAGGCCTGTTTCTGTTTTCCTCTGTTATCTGAGACAGTGCTACACCCACCTTGGGTTGTTCAGGATCAGAAGGGAACATTCAGCGTTTCTGGAGAAAATGGCTTGATTTTGCACGGAATAATTGAATATTCATTGGTCAATAGAAGGGGAGGCTTATTTGACTGGGAGGGGAAAGCTATGGGTAGCCCCTGCCCCGCAGACTGCCTCATGGGGAAAACATAAATGTGGTTAAGGGCAGACAGTGGAAGGCTGGTCTTTTTTCCTGAAACAATGTGCTTTATCCAGTTCCCTGTAACAGCAGGCAAGGCACATACACCCATGTTGAGCATCCTGGCCTGAGGGTGAGCAATGCAAGTTCAGACCCATAAAAATGCTTTGAAAAACCCAACCTCTGTGATAAAACTGAGTGAGGGTGAGAGAGGTGCTGCAGTGATGCTACCTGATAGTCTGAGCAGCCTCTGCTGCCTGCTGGTTTGGATACCTGGGCTGTGCCAGCTGTGCCACATCCACTGGCCCTTGGCCACCACCCGCCAGGCCCTCAACACTCGCCTACCACTGGCTTGAGTGTAACGGGGGCATGCAGCTGACTCCCTCGGAGGGTCTCAGCCAAATGCTTGTTTATCCTGCTTAGTGCATCTGTTCACTCTGGTAGTAAGCTGTTTATAACATTTCAAACGGTTTTCAGGGATTAATTTCCTTCAAGGGGCTGTTCTTTTCCCCTGGTGCTTTGATAGGTGGAGGTAAACATGTTTTTGTCTGCAAGTAGCTTGAGGGAGAGAGTTGTTCTTACAATGCAAGAGCAGAGAGGCTGGTTTTAAAACGGTTTCCCATCAGATGTGAACTGGTGTCTGCAGGAAAAATCCTGCTACACTGGGGAGTATTGCTCAAACTGCAGACCTGTGATGTGCTAAACACAGTTCAAGCATTCAGTGTGCGTGGAATCAAATACAGCTTGTTTTCATTTTGTAGGATGCTTTGCATCGGCTCTATCCTCACACTTGGAGGAAAGGGAATTGAGTTTGCAAAACATCCTCTTTCCTGCTGTTATACAAAACTGGACTTCCTCTTTCTAGGGTTTTCTCAGTGAATGCTTTCTGCACCATCTCAATCATCCCAAAGCCAGTGTCTAAAGTGAAACACAGGGTGCTGGGATATGGTCAAAGCACAGTGTGATCCCAGCAACCCAGTAGGATCAAACTGTGCTTTCCCACTGCAAAGGAGGAAGGGAGAGAGGGATTTGGATCCACTTTGGAGGTGGGGAGTGGAGTCAAGGTCTCTCTGAGAAGGGTGGTGATTGGTGCTAGGAATTTAGAAGATGCCTAAACCTGAAACCTCATTTTCAGTTTTTAACTTAGGTAATAGTAGGTTCTTAGCCTTAGCGCAATCACATTGTCAAAATTAAAGAGTTCACTGATGGTTTCTTTCCCTAATTAAAA